AATAAATAGTATATGATTGGATCAGCAGATTTCGTAACAAAATAATATAATTGGACGGTATTTGTGAGAAAGTGTTCAAGTCCGTTTTTGGTCATATCGTATGTGGCTAGTCCATTTTATAGCAAATCGTATGCCGCATAGATTGGTCACGCTGAAATGCACGCATGATCGTTGGTTTTCGATGTATTTTCATGTGCGTTTTGATTCAAGTCACAACGGGAATGATTTGTGTAGTGAGAAACGACCCAAGTCCAAAAACGTGTTATATGATAAATGTGCATAAGGGCACAAGTCGCACTACCAATTTGGACGGTGTTTGTGAGAAAGGGTTCAAGTCCAAAATCATAGTTTTTTAATAAACAAAAAAGACATGATAAAAAGTACCCAACATAAAAATATTCAAATTTTGTGTTGAATATAATTATTGTAAATTATTATTATTGCAATTTTAAATTTTTTTAAGTAAAAAGGAATTGTTTATAGTTTATATGGATTTGTGCCAAATGACATTTATTTTCTAAAAATTTACATGTGACTTGTGCCTTTGTGCACCAAAAATACTATAACGTTTCTATTGAATTTTGAATAAAATAATTATTAGAGTAGTATATAATTTATTATAAACGAACAAAAAACAAAACAAATTTTTTCATTTTTAAATTTTTACTATAGTATTCCTTTTTTTTATATCATAATAAATTATTAATAAACGCAACAGTGTTCAATTTTTTTTTAAAAAATTTGCAATTTTAATACCCCAAAAATACTATTTTATATAGGTATATTTTCTTTAAAACTTTGAAATATATTTAAATAACCTACTTGATACGACAATTCAAAATTAAAAGGAGGCACTACTAATATTAAGTGAAGACGAATAAATTTAAAATCCGTTTGAGAGTCATAAGTTTTTATTTCTGTTATACTGTTCATTAACTATTATTTTATTTTCATATTTATATTGATTTTTAATGTTGTTTTTATTTTATAAAAATCAAATTAACTAGTATTATACAAGTACATTAAGTGTATTTTAGTTCAGGCACGTATACAGAGGAGGTATTCAACCCCTCCTGAAAATTAATAATTGCGTAATTTATGTATATAAATTTAATTTTTTTTTTTTTTAAATATTAATAATCTTGGTAATATTGATTATTATAAATTTGTTATGAATACCCCGAATTTTCTATTTGTGTACGTGCCTGTTTTCATCTATAATATATTAAGTACCAAGTATGTTATTTAAATATTTTAAAGTTTTAAAGAAAGTATATAATATTATCTTTTGTAATTGTATGTAACAAATTTAGAAAAATACTAAACATTTTGTTAAGTTTATTAATAATTTATTATAATACAATAAAAAGTTATGGTATAGTAAATATTTAAAAAAGAACAAACTTGTTTTGCCTTTTGTTCGTTTATAACAAATTAAACACCACTCTTATAATTATTTTATTATAAATTACAATAGAAACGTTATAGTATTTTTGGTGCGCACAAAGGCACAAGTCACATGTACATTTTCAGAAAATAAGGGTTATTTGACACAAATCCATATAAACTATAAAACATTCCTTTTTTACTTAAAAAAAAAATTTTAAATCGCAATAATAATAACTTACAATAATTATATTCAATATAAAACTTGAATATTTTTATGTTGGCCACTTTTTATTATGGTTTTTTTTTTTGTTTATTGAAAAACTATGATTTTAGACTCGGACCGTTTCGCACAAACACCGTCCAATTTATTTACGAAACACTTCGACTGGGGGTAAGAAGTTACGGGGCAAGTCCAAATGTTAAGGAAAAGGTTTTATTCCGTGTTTTTAAAGGGGAGTATGGACACTCCCAGTGGATACAATATAATTATTGCAAACGAAAAAACAATTCTGAGCGGAGTAGTGTACGTCCTGTTCTTTCACGTGTGGCCAACGTATACCGAAAGAAATCGACAAAAATCAAACAACAACGAAAAAAGACCTAGGCGATGAACTGTTGGCAGTCTCGATAAATGGTTCGTAAAAAAGTATCGCCAAACAGAAATTCCACATTATTGGACGTGTGGCGCGAAAAAATCGAAGCAAATGTTCCGGTTAAAACTGCAAAAGTGTTTTCTTTTTCTTTGTACAGCTAACAGCAGGGCTTTTTCTTCGTACTCGGAATCGAAAAAGTTCAAATTCAAATTTAATAATTAATTTCCGCCGCGATTTATTGACAATTATTATACAACGTGTTTCGCGGTCTACGAGATTGTTTTTTTTTTTAGCGGAAACGAGTTAAATTAACCTGCAAAATAAACTACACCGCAGTGCATTCGGTAGTATTGAAACCGTATCGTTTTGCCAAAAATAAAACTAAATAAATTTAGAAAAAAAATTATCAACGGGAACGCAACTAATGTACAACAATTTTTTTTTCTCTACAAAAACATAATAATTATTATTGTTATAGAAAATCTTACACGACAAGTCGCGAAATCGTGTAATTACAGTAATTATTAATTACAGTTATGCGTTTATTTCGTTCGGTCGGCCAATCGTTCCGTCGTATTGTAATAAACGTACACTATGCACGTAGCCAAACTGCGCAATGATAAAATAACAGAGAAACGTTTTCCGGTATATTTGTCTTGGTGTATTATCGTTACTTAATGTGAAAGTTGTTTTACATCCTCGAAAAACGTTAAATTGGAATTCGTAATCGTTAAACAAATATGTCCTGCACTCGGAAAAATAATAAACACAACCTCGCAATGTATAAATTATATGCAAAACGGCGCGCAGAAAAAATAATACGGCAACAATACCGTCCATTCTACTGTACCGTTTGCAATTGCTTTACAACTTCGAATATCGTTTTGACATTATAATATTTATTTTATTTATCGTTTTTACGCGTAGAAATTTAGAAAAAAAAAAAAAAAAACCCCTTTAACTTTTGACGTTTTAACTGATTTCGTAACTCGCAATAGTCTCGTTGGATAAAATCGCGTATGTAAGGCAACAATCGAATAGTCAAACCAATGTTCGCATAATAGTTTGCGCGGTCGGTACCCGTTTGGAGTTGTCATTTTTCGGTTTTCCAAGCGGTTCTCGTAATAATCGGGAAAAACCGGGGAAAAACTTGGAAAACGTACGTGCACGTACAACCGAACTCGCTCGGAATCATCCGTTTTTCGTTAGCAAACGTTGACGAACGCTGCCGTACCTTTCCGCTTTTTTTTCGATTTTCACTAACAACAGTGGCCCGCCCGTCGTGCGAAGTATGTCCGTTTTTTTTTTTTTTTTCAGTCATAAATTTCGTATTTTCAACGAACGCTACGGTACGCGTATTGCCGAGGAGCTATTGAAGACGCGCACACAGCACGCGAATTGAAATTACCTTTACCGGTTTCGAAAACCCTTACGATCGCTTATTCGCTGTAACATTTCGCTAATCCGTGTTGAGTATTTGCCTTTTTTTTTTTTTTTTTTTTTTTTTATCGTATCGCGACGATCGAGTGAGGCTCCCTCAAATAATTAATTTGCCCCCGACGCCGAGTAATATTGTGTACTAAAGCTTAGAAAAAAAATTGTAATAATCAAAACAGAAGAACGGTCAAAACGCATATTTTCGGCCTTAGAGAGAACGGCTCAATTTTTTTTTTTTTTTTTATAATTTTCGATAATTTTAAAAAATTTAATATTTTTTTTTTTTACGAAATCGGCTTAAGATTTTCCTCCTTGACGTCAAACGGAAACAATAGTTAACCTTTTTTTTTTTTTTATCCTCAAAATACACTTTTACACTTTACGGGATAATAAACTTTCGTGAGGCGTATTTTTCTTTTAGATTATATCGGATTTCCTATAGATTTTCGCGAAAAACCACAATGTCAACGGGGAAAAATTCAAACGAAACACGTTTACTCCAAGCTCGTTATCCGCACGTATAGCACAGCTATTATATGCACGCGCGACAGCCCCAAACCCCATCGCCTATGCGACCGCGCGGAGCAGCGGAGACGACGTCGGACGGACACTTACTTGTCGTGTATGTTGTACAGGTCGGTGCCGCCGATTCGCAACACATCCTTGACGTACCGGGCGCCCTTGTACACGGTAATGACGGCAAAGTGGCCGGCCACCAGGCCGTCGGATCCCGGCCACACGCGCATGGCCAGCGCCTTGAGCACCACCCCGGACGCCCGGGCCTGGGCCTGCAGGTCCTTGTCGGTGCGCAGGCACGCGGCCCGGACGGCGGGCAGCGGCGGCCGGCAGCAGGCCAAAACGGCGACGGCGGCGGTCAACGCGGCGGCTGTACGCATCGTGCTGCGCGGTGAATCTACCGGCCGTAATTCATTAAAGACGTCGTCGGTCTATGCGAGCCGAACGATTTCCATTGCGTCGTCCGTATTCGTGTTCGTGGCGCCGCGGGACGAATTCAATACACGGCTGCGCCCGCGATAACGACGGCGGACACGAATCCAATCAACGAGACCCGAAACACATGAACGCGCGTTTGAACGTCCGTCGGGTCCGTCATCGGTCGGCGGCGGAGCGGGATGAACGGCAGTGAACGCGTGCGGTCGACACGTCGGGCGCGAAACGACTGTTGAGCTCGTGCCGTGCGCGGCGGCGGCGTCGTCCGATTCAAAGGGTAGTATTAGCCTGTCGCGCCGCCACCGCCGCCGAATGTACGCGGAAAGGTGTAAATGCCATCTGGCGAACGATACGGGAAATGGACCGACGCGAGTGCCTATACACCCCGGACGGTGTTTGGGGGGGGGGCATTTTCGGCGGCGGCGACGGCCGCCGCGGGTAAACGCGCCGACCTTGATACCGGCGACATAATGTATTTCGCCGTGCGCTATGTTATGCATGTAGCCGTAATTATCACGGAAAACTAAATCGAAAACGATTTTCGAAAACCGCGCTACGGCGGCGGGTTTTTCTCACCCCGGGAAATGCTTCGACGCCCGAACGTCCGACGAAAGCCCGTCGATTTTTTATGTCGTAATTTCGGTTTTTAAAATGGAGCGAGGGGGGGGGCATTAGAAAAAAAAACCGCCCGTCAACTTACATTTTCACCTCAATACAAAACACCATTTTTACATCGTTTCACGTACTTAATAATTTTAAAACGGGTTGAATAACTTAAACATATTATCTTTAATACTCATCGTACGCATAAACAATCAATTTTTTTTTAGTGACAACGACGACTGAATAATAAATATTGGCGTGGAGGAATGTCTGAACATATATTACGTATTAGCTACTGAATGAAGACCTGGTTAGAGGGGAATTTCACTCTTATTTGTGTATCATAAAGTCATAAAAACACGTATGACATGAATCGTGTTTGCGGGCTCGCGGCCCAAAATTGGCACGACACCGGCCCGCTGATGACGAGAAGGGGGGGAACAAATTTTATCTAGTTGGCAGTTTGAGGAGGTCGATTTTCGATTTTTCAAGCAGTTTTCGTAATAATTTTGAAAAACCGGGGAAAAAACCGTAAGAAAAACGGGAAAATTTATTTTTGATTTTGTTTTTTTTTTTTTTTTTTTTTTTTTTTTTTTTTTTTTTTTTCTGTAAAACAGTTCAAAATATTCCTAGAGACTTGAAATTTCGGTCGTAAATTTTTTATTTAATAGGTACTTTGAGAATAAAATTGTTAGTCCAAACAGAAATGCTTGAAAATTTAATAAAAGGTTCTATTTAAGTTATGCTTAGTGGTCCTATTGACCAATAGGAAACAATTTAGTTAAAATCTGTGGTTTTTTGTTTAATAAAAATTTTAATAACAACCAATTTTTTTTGCCGAAAATCGTAAATATTACGATATTATGACCTTTTAAAATATATATATAACCAAACTTCTCTGAGAACCGTTTTTCGTTATCAAATATTAGTCGTTGCGTATTAGACATACATTAAATTCCCGCATATATCCTACCTTCCCAACTTCTCACCTACGACACCCGCCGTGCGAATTATGGAAAGTATTTAAGTAAGAGGAGAGGGTGATTGTCTATAACACCCGCTCAAATGTGCCACTGTTTCCGGTGGCCTTATCCACCGCTACCTTGTTTTAAAACGAACTAAAAGATAATAATAGTAATAATGGAAGACATTAATAAAAATATTTTCTCGCGTAATGATCAAATCGAAATTGAATAAGATAATAGTAAATACACAGTATACAAATACATTTAAAAATGGAGTCATACACCTAGGCAGACCCCCAAATGAAGCCAGGTGGATATAATTGATGTCCGATTTCATGTTTTCACAGGAATTATTTGATTTTAACGATTTGAACTTCTAACCTCCGACCCCCCACCGTTAGCAAAAACATCTCGAGAACTAGTTACGTACTCAACCAATTTCGACAAAACTTTTTTCAGTTCGATTACTAGTCTTAAAAAATACTTGCAATATTGCAAAAGCGGATTTTCAACATTTTTCTGGGAGGGTTCCTGAAAATTAATATGTATTTAAAACGTATCTCTATTAATAGATGACTCTTGTTTGCACATTTTATTGAAATTAGATCAGTGTCCGGGGGGGTCAGACCCCCTGGACCTCCACCCCCCCATAAATCCGCCACGGAAATATTGTAACGGCAACAATCGTTGAACGTTTCAAACAAATAAAAGCGAAATGACTCGCTTGCTGTTACCCTTCATAATATTCAATTGTTGAGGAAGAAAAACCTCTGGAGGTTATCATATAGCAGTGCCATAGTTGGAGAAAACGTTCAGAGGGTAGGCGCTAATAGTCAATATTATTGCTTATTATTTTTTTAGAAAAACAAAATACTATAAAATAACTTGAATAACTGATGAAAAAAAAAAAAAAAAAGAGACTTCGGGGAAGACACGTGCGCCTGGTCAATGTCCCCCTCGGCCATGTTGTTATATATAGCACATTACCTTGCTATACAAGGTTAGTAATAATACGAACATAATAATACAGAGGACGGACACATAAGCCATTTCGAGTTGCACTATTCCTCGCGCAGTTTAAAAGTCACGTACGTGGCGTGCGTGTAGTGTATTTCTTTTAGCGAGAATTAGCTGATAGTGTGGAACGGTTCCACTTCGAAATATCCCATAACCAATATAACCCCATTCAAAATATTTCCATTTAAACCGTCACGTGTACGCTCTCGACGATGTCTGAAAGCCAATAATTCTGTCCCGGTTTCAATTCAAACGTCAAGCGAATACGCGCCATTCGGTCACGGGAGACGCTAATAAACGCTCGCCAAGTGGCGTAACCACGGGGTAGGTAGTATTCGGTGTTTTGCCACCTCTCCACCTCCTACATTACTTTCTTTTAGCAATAATTATGGTTTAGAAGAAGTAGACTCGTAAACGCTCCTAGCCCTCTTCCCCCCCCCATATTGATAGATCTTGGCCATTGCACTAATGCTATGACAATAAATTAATAACTTAAAGCGACCATTCTGGAGTCTTTAGACAGTGCTCGACGAGGACTACCAACCTGATAATAATTAGTCATTTCGGAAATTCGAACCATCGAGGATTGAAATTCGTGTTAAAGTTAGTGTGAAACAACGGACGATTTTGGTTTCTATTACATGGGTGTAAAATTGCTGAATGATTCGACAATTTGGGAAAACGTAGAATGAGTGAAATTTCGAAGGAAAATAATTTCGTTTCTTTATAAGTCGGCTAATGAAAACGGTTTAAACCGTTTGAAATATCTACTGATATTTCAGACCGTTAGGGGATGAAATATTCACGTGGTATTTGTATTTTACCCATTTGTCTTTCATACGCCTCTCCGTTGAGAAGACATTATAAAAGTGACTGCGTGGTATTAATCATTTGATCGTTAATAATCAGTGGCGGGTTTGGAAATCATTTAGGGTGCAGGGGACGAACTACGGGTATCAGAGGCATACTCACGAGTCCGTAAACTGAAATTTCAGGGGTCCAACATACGTTTGTTTTACAATACAATTCCCAAGTGGAAAGCCGTAATACTAATTTATTTTTTTTTTTAATTTTTTTTTTTACTATACACAGACCGTTTAAAATTAAAATTATACAACAAACTACGTCGAGTAATTTTTAAATTTTTTTGAACACATCACTCGATACGACTGCAATAACTGTTTAGATACGATTTTTTTATGTTGCGTATTATTTTATTTATACGTATTAATATTCGAATTGAGATCTGACAGCGATTCCCATACACCTATTATCGCTTAATTTTCTCCTTCTCAGGTTTCTCCGGGCTACCGCGGTGTGCTATGGTATTCTAAAATGGGCCGTGGGCACAGCCGATTGTTTTCGCACCGTTGCGTGACGATTACTAAATTGATTGATGGATCCAATAAATGTTTCGAGACGTATCGATACCAGCCGAATAAAAAAAATATTTAACGAAAAAAAGAAAAAAGAAATAATTAAATATGCTCCGGGCATAGGTAGGTGGATATTTTTATCTACTCGTGTCTGGCGAACTGCAGGCCACGATAAAAGCTTTCGACAAAATACAAACTTCTATTCAAATAAAATGTCTTATAGGTAGCAGTTTTTATTACGTGTTCTATTCACGGTGAAATTCAAAGGAAGTGTATTGAATTTAGACTTTCGATATTGGTGTTTTCTGAAAACCGTATCGACGAAACACGGGTAAGCCGAATCACCGGAGTATAGATACGGACGATAACAACGTTCACGAGAAACAATTAAAATAAAACGCAATATTATTAAAATCGAATTTTCTAATCTCGGTATCACAAGCAGCGGCTATTTTTGAGATCAGTAGTGGACCGACGGATGTATTGGTTTTACAACGATGTACACATTTTTTTTTTTTCCGCGCGCGACTTTTCTACCGGAAATTTTACCGATTTACAATGATCGCGCTTTTTTCTGCAAGGCAATCCGATCGGGATGGCACTTTAGGGAGGTAATTTTTCTTGATTTTCCCGGGAGTTTTCCAAATAAATGGAAAAAAAAACCCCCCGGAGAAACGGTACAATATTGAACGAATACTATTGAAGAAAACATACAAGGCGTACATAATTATTGTACCGTAATATAACGCAAAACTCGAGTGGTAATATAAGGGCGCGAGCGACAGTTTTGGCCATAATGGCCCTTTGGTATTAAAAAAAAATTCAGAAAAATCAGCTCTGTCAACGATAAAAGGATGCAAGCGACTTCTAGATATGATAAATGGCTGGTTTTCGCTTTATGGGTTTTTGCCGTTGACGCCAAGAGTTAATTTTGTTAACGCGGTAAATGGCGTAGGCGACAGTGCCAGAACGAAAATCGTTGTGAGCGACGCGAACGAGCGGCGCGAGCGACAAAATTTAAACGCGTAGATATATTTGTAAACGACGATTATCGGAACGTTTCGGTAACGCCGAATCCGCCGGCGTTATCTTCTGGTTTTCGATTCGACCGCGACACGTCCAAGGCGAACAACAATCGTGCACTTTTCTCGCCGAATGCCAATAGGCCAAAACGTCACCGACAGTTCGTCTCGCCCGCGGTTTGCGAACTCAACGGACATAATATCAATCCGTGGAAATCGCGTGCGTTGACGATTACCATTAACCGATTGTTTTAAGCGAGTCGTTTATTCGTACGAATAATGTATAGAATGACATCAAAACCACGAACCGATAGAACGGCGGTCGGCGGCAACGGTGCAGTCACACACCGGCAATGGAACTATTCAAAAATATCGACGACAAAATGTCTGCGCAATAAACGCCGGTTCGATTCCCGTAGGTACGACGGCAGAATTTACATATGGACAAAATGCAATGTCGCGCACGACTCAAACACACACAACGCGGGCCGCAGGACGGTCTCCGTTTGGGAGAGCATTGCGTTGGGATGCGCGCGCGTGATATCGAACGAACGATTGTTCGGGAGGAGAGGGAAAAAAAAAAAACATTTTTAAACAGAGTATTCGAACGGGGAACATTAATCAGACTTGACTCGAAACTACCTATAGCTGCTAAACGGGGCCGATTATTAAACTGCATGTTGCGTACATTACCGATCGTGTCTGGCCCGGAGATGTGCGCGCGCGCCCGGCCGACCAGACCGGGGCTCGCTCCGTTTGTTCGTTTGAGGCGCCGTCAGCGGCCGGAAACACGCCGAGGCACACGGCCTTTCTTGACGGCGAAAAATATGCGAACCCGCGCGGTACACGGCGGTGGTTTCGCGGCGAAAACCGTACGGAGTTTCGACCGTCCGACGGCGGACTCGCGGGATTCGGTGCGCACGCGAAACGGGAAAATGACGACCGGCGAAACTGCGCGGCGGAGCGCCGGGACGTCCGCGACGCGCGTCGCCGCGGGCCGACGTTTCGTGCGACGACGGGAAACGCGTTATGATTGGCCGTTAACCCGCGGTCGGGAGTAAAACGTCACCGTGAATTGCGAAAGACCGATCCGCGGGGCGCGGGGAGGGAGACCGTCGATCACGATGACGTAACGTGTCCCGTCGCCGCGCGCGCGTAACCGTGCGAACCGGTCGACTCGCGTTGACCGTGTGGCTGCGCACCGCGCGTCCTGCGACAGATAACGGAAAACGGCCGTCGTTTTTGCACGTAACAGATCGTATATTCTCTAGGGACAACGCCTTATAAGATTTCACACGACGAACACACGCATTTTAAGTGCAGTAATATTGTTTCGGATACGTTGCCCGATACTGACCGACCCGGGTAGACGGAGAGTAGCAAGACTGAAGAACATTTTGTTCTATTAAAGTTGCATTTTTTTTTTTTTTTTTTTACGTTTCCTTTTTGTTTAAACCGTTAAACGAAACGAGCACGGATTACATTGTTATTACTATTTGTTTTTCATTTTATCGAGTAAAATTTTAAAAATAATATAAATAGCAAGCCATATTGCTATAAAGGATAAACGACAATTATTAAATCCTCAGATTGTAAGCGACGTTGCTTAGACTTAGTTTTATATTTTTTTTTTTTTTTTCTGAACGTCATAAATAATTTAATAATATAATTAAAGAAATTTGTTTTTATTAATTTATATTTTAAACAAAATTATACAAAAAAGATAATCATAAAAAATCATAAAATATTACATTTTTAAATGTTTTTTTGTGTTGCTGAACAATTGTCAAAATGTCGCTTACCCCCTAATGCCTATTACGACTCGATATATATTGTTGAATAAACAGCATTCAGTTAACTGAACTCTGCCCAGAATCGTTTTTTTCGTTAGCAATCGTTTATCGTTGCTTACAGATATACTTCCCCTCCACTACCTTCTCAACTTCTCACCAAAAACAGTGGCACCACTCCTCATTACCTATCCTAGGACAGCTTTTTTTTTTAAATCGTTCATTCATTATATACAAATTATAATAAACACATATAATATACAATACACACCAGCGAAGTATATGAAATATAGGTATGGTAAATAAATTTGTGAATGCGTTTTTGACATTTTTATATAGCTACCCGATCCTATAAGCGTCATTTTGAACATATGTTTTTATACATTTGTATAGAATAATAATAGATATAATGAATGAAATAAACACAAGTTTTATTAAGAATGCATTTAACAATACATAGAATCATGAACATCCCTAATATTTTGAAAATTTCAATAAATCTATAAAAACAAATATGAGGCAGCTGTTCAAATTTCAAGTCTCTCCGAACATTTTAAACTGAATTAAAACAAAAAACGTACATTTTCCAATTTTTTCTACATTTTTTCTCAGAATCTAAAAAATTATCAAAATATGTTATTTATATACATTAATTACATTGTGTACATTTATAGAATTGCTAGTAGAAATTCAAACAAATTGCTCTCTTTAATTGAACAGTATAAAATATAGGAATACTTAATTATTCACATTAGTGGTAGCTAAAGACATAATATATCATCGACCTCCCTTCAGTATTTTCGATATTACTCGGATACTAGTGTCGAACAAATTGCAATAAATTTCGAACAAATTCATATAAATGTCTAGTCCTATGTCTAGTATATTTAGTAAACACTTATATTATTATATCCTTTAGTATACATCTTTATGGATTATATGATATACTATCTTTCCAGCGTAACATGCATAATCAATAATTTGAACAGAAAACTTGGCAATAAACACACAGCTTTATTTACAGTATGTATTGTCTTATATGTACAAGCAACAAAGTTTTATTAACATAATTTATATTTAAATGGTTTCTCTCCAGTGTGAATTAACTTGTGCTGCTTTAAACTAGTCAAATATTTAAATAATATTCCACAAACATCACATTTAAATGGCTTTTCACCAGTATGAACTCTTGTGTGAACTCTCAAATTTGATTTCAATCTAAATGATTTTTGACATACTTTACATTTAAATGGTTTCTCTCCAGTGTGAATTAACTTATGCAGTTTTGATTTAGACAACTGAGTAAATGATAATTCACAAATATCACATTTAAATGGCTTCTCACCAGTATGAACTCTTGTGTGAACTCTCAAATTTGATTTCAGTCTAAATGATTTTTGACATACTTTACATTCAAATGGTTTCTCTCCAGTGTGAATTAACTTGTGCTGCTTTAAACTAGTCAAATAATTAAATGATATTTTACAAATATCACATTTAAATGGGTTCTCACCAGTATGAACCCTAATGTGTACTCTAAAAGTTGATTTCAGTCTAAATGATTTTTGACATACTTTACATTTAAATGGTTTCTCTTCAGTGTGAATTAACTTGTGCAGCTTTAATTGATAGGACTGAGTAAATAATAATTCACAAACATTACATTTAAATGGTTTCTCACCAGTATGAACCCTTGTGTGTGCTTTCAAAATTGATTTCAGTCTAAATGATTTTTGACATACTTTACATTTAAATGGTTTCTCACCAGTATGAATCCTTGTGTGTGTCACCAAAGTTGATTTTAGTCTAAATGATTTTTGACATAATTTACATTCAAATGGTTTCTCTCCAGTGTGAATTAACTTGTGTGACTTTAATTGAGACAACTGAGTAAATGATATTTCACAAACATCACATTTAAATGGCTTTTCACCAGTATGAACTCTTGTGTGAACTCTCAAATTTGATTTCAGACCAAATGATTTTTGACATACTTTACATTTGAATGGTTTCTCTCCAGTGTGAATTAACTTGTGCGACTTTAATTGAGAGGACTGAGTAAATGATAATTCACAAACATCGCATTTAAATGGTTTCTCACCAATATGAATCCTTGTGTGTGTCACCAAAGTTGATTCTAGTCTAAATGATTTTTGACATAATTTACATTCAAATGGTTTCTCTCCAGTGTGAATTAACTTGTGCTGATTTACATGGGGCAATTGCAAAAAATTGCTTATCAAATCAGTTTCTGTTTTTATTTCTTTTGTTTGTATAATTGGTTCTTTAATTTCTCCATCAGAGGTACTCCAAAATCTGAAAATGTTTAAAATCATAATTTATATTAAATACTTATTATATCAGACAACATAATGAGAATCAATAATTCTAAAATGAGTAAGTTTGTTAGTAAATTTTGTAGTCTATGTGTTATAAATATTATAATTTAGTGTTTTACCAGCTATGTGATAATAAAATTAAAAACCAATATTAAGTTACACAAAAGAAAAATCCTTCATCATTAATTATTTTTTTAATTTTCAAATTTTTCTTCCACTGAAATTCATGAATCATTGTTTAATCTGTATAGTCCACATATTATAATGTCTCAAAAAATTGGATTGGTTTGGTGCACAAAATTTAATTATTTTCGAGAAATTATTGGAGATGTTTCAAAAAGTGTAAGTCAAATTAGATAACTAAAAGTTCAGAAACTGGATATACAACTTGACCTCCCAAAACACTAATGTTTATCACATTGTTCATGAGAAATTAAATTTTTGTTAAGATTGTTGAGATCATGAATGCATGATACTGAGTTTTTTAATACTTTGATGTGTTATGTATATCTAAGATAATATGTTTAAGTTTGAAATGAATCCAAACTTGAGTATTTAAAACACAAACATAAATACAACAACTCAGTCAAAAAATCAAAAGAATCTTAAAGTCTCTTTATTCATCATAAAAATAGTGATTTGAACCGTCTGTCTCCCAAGTCTCCCGTTACCCAACTCCAAAAATGTGGTTAGGTCACTGTGAATATCTAGCAAAGCGCATGATTCTCCAAACAACAAAACAAAAATATTTTCCATCACACTCAATCGCTATTCTCCATCAGAAATAATAGAAATGGATCAAATATAAACAACCTTAAATACAATCAATATGTCGAAGGATGTTCAAAATATAAAACCAATCTCATAACACAATTACAAACAACTGATAATATCCAAAAATATCTACAGTATTGTAATAAATATATCTGAATTTACACAATTCTGACAAAAGATATCTGAAGTTATTCAAACTATGAAAATCAATGCACAATTAATAGATTACTTCTGTTCACTCACCAAAATATAAAAATTACACTGATTGATTAAAAGATGAAAAATACTTTTCTATCACTAAATCTAAAGTCACATAAGAGCTAAATAACCTAAAATTTCCTGCAAAATCTGTTATAAAACTAACAAATAAATATATAGCACCCACAATACAACTGACAAATAATCCCAGAGCACAATGAATATTTAAACTAAACAAACTACTAAATTGCATAATAAACATAGAGCCAAGACATAAATCCCAGGACCCCCCCTCCCACAATGCACAAACTACCAAAGATATGGAAACATATATAAATCTTATAAACTACAATTTTGCTGCGTTAAATGAAATGGATTACATCATTACACTTCATGCGATAAACATCAGTAGCATCACCAATCTGCATAGGAGGAACATAACCTATTGCTGGAAAAAATGCATGAATTTGAATGATGACTAGGGCCCAGATTAATATACACTATAAAATATGCATGTTTGCTCTTATTTTGTAGAAATATAAGTAACTTTAAATTATGTATATAGACAAAAAAATTGTGTCAATTTTTATTATTCCTATTTTAATTATTTAAATAGAAGCTGTGAAAAAAAATGTAAAGATACTCACTGTAGAGGGCAATTTTCATTGTCAATGTTTATTCCAGTGTGTACTATCATATGGCATTTTAACTTCGATTTTGAAGAAAATGAGGTATCACAATTGTAGCATGTATATTTTTTTCTTCTAAGTTTTGGTTTCTTATATAAAATTAATTCCATGGGATCATTTTCAATTGTAATAATACTTTGAAATTCACAATCATTTAAAACATCAAATTCTTCTTTTATTTCAATTGTTTGGGAAATCGGTTGTTTTATCTCTTCTTTAGAAGTACTCATACATCTGAAAATTTTTAGAATCATAATAATTAATTATTACCATACAAATATATTACAGGTTCATACAATAAAATTTTTTATGTCGGTACTAATTATATATTGTAAAAGAATTTGTATATAGGTACTATGTATACATAATATATATACACACAATATATACAGTATATTACATTTATATTGTATACCTACCAGATGATTATTTTATCATTATACTCATTATCTCGGAAAATATTAACTTTTTTCAGAATCTGATTTATAAAGACAAGAAACAAGCAGCTCTACAATTTTATATTTACATAATATATATTTTTTGTCACCCTAATTTTTGAGTGGAAACGATCGGTCTTGTAAAGAATACTTTTATTTTGTAATATGAATATGTATTCAAATACTATTTTTTAATTTTGTTTACATTTTTAAATTATAGATACATTAATTTATTATTACTTTTTTTTATTATATTTCAAATAATAATTATACACTGATAAAGTAACATGAAATATATTTACATTTTGTTACATTTAATCATCATTACTTTTTCAAAATTTGTATCAAACATTTTTCCTCATTTTTTGGTTATAACTCCACTCCCCATATTAAATATACGTTCTATTTTTTATGTAAGGAATATCATCCAAAGAAGTTAAATTCTTTGTTGGGCTTTTAGAAATATAATTAAAAAATTTAATTTTCTGCAGAATTTTTGATATTTGCTTTTTAGACCAATCAGAAAAAAATTATTTAATACATCAACAAATTGATTTTTATTATAATTCATGCCTGGTGTCAAATGGCATCACCATTTATCAGGTTTTTCGTGCTAATATTATATTTTATGTTTTTAATAACCGATAACCAGGATTATAATTTATAAACACAAACATTTTTTTTCCGAATTTCAAATATTCAAAATATGTACCTATTCAATTACAAAAAAATTATTAAAATATTTTTTTTCGAATACTTTACAAAACTGGAAACAACTACCTTGTAAATACTGCAATTTATATTAAACGTTTAATATACCAATCCATCATAAACGCAAGACGTACATGTGATGTAAATGTAAATGTCTATGATAAATCTAAAGTTAGTCTATATGCACCCCTTTTTTAGTCTATTTGAAGATCCAATTGAAGCATCTATCATATATTATATAGTAGACCAAATTCAACTCTTTTATAACATGTCTATGTGTAGATGTTATAAAAGAGTTGAATTTGATCTACTATATGGTATATGATAAATGCTACACATAGACATTAATTAATGTTTTAATAAATCTACTACAATAGGTGAATATAAAATAATCCTTCAAAAAGCATGTGCCCTAAAAAATACTGCATATTATGTGTAGTATTGTTTTTGGTTACATATTGAACAATAAAAAAAAAATTAAAAAATACATTACACATAAAAAAAATAAGTAAACATACTATTTAAAACAATACCTACACATTTTAGTAAAGTTTTGAACATATTTTATAAGCATTTAATGCATACAAAAAAAATGAGACATGTACAATATGTATTACTTATAAATAATATCAAATAAACCAAATAATATTTAATGTGAATAATTATATGTTCCATTTTAATTTTTTTTACGAAGGGAGCTTTTCTTAGGGTACCACCTGAGAGCTTTTCACGTACCGCAGGTTGAAAAACGCCTTTACAGTATACAGAGTTGGCAAGTATATATATATATATATATACCGTTGATACGGAACTAATAATAAAAGACGTAGAGAATAAATTTACTTGCATACAAATGCATTCAAACGAGTGCATAAAATTGTCCAACAAGGGATATCTAAGATACGTCTACGCGTGTCAACAAATATTTACCAACTCTACGTCTAGTGAAAGATGGGAAAATTGCAAATGAAGACGGACATTCTAAATAATAATTGGTCCATAATCAGTGTACAAGTGATCGTGGACGTTATAGACGTATATATACATACAGACATGACGTATACTATGTACGTTTACCGGACAGGTACCTGTAGTTTTGATTTTCAAACAGCAACCTATAATAAAAATCGCATAAACGGATTGAGTATTGGTCGAAATAAATTTCGGCGTTTACGTTTTCGATTTCCGTGTCAATCCGTTGACGGGATATTCCACATTAAAGTTTCGGTCGGCGGAGAGTTGTCGTGTCGGTACTAAATATACATATTTATATATAGTATATAACGTGTTATAGGTACTTTCATGTTTGCCTGAAGTATTAATTACTGACGGATATATTTGCTCACTTTGAATTTTTCGTTGATTTCTCGACGCGTCGACTGCTTTCCATTATTATAAATCGAATACAATAATATCGTTGATAACGGGCACTCGGGTGCACAATACTGGATAACTAGTATTATTATTAAAGGAAAAATTATTTTCTACAATAACAATATATTTTGCTCACGCGTCGCCCGTTTTAAAATTCCAAAACGGTTTCGTTATCGGGTACGCGCCGACGGGACCATTAGCGGTTGTCGGAGAATTGATAAAAGATTTCTTTCCGCATTTAGTTGGTAGTATTGCCAACGTTGAACAATAAAATGTTTGTGTAGACATACCGTCAACCAACAAATAAAGTGTCAACAGTGTATTTATTTTTAATGCGTCGGTTTTCTTTTCAAAACAATTTATACATTTATATTATTGTAATGTTTGTGCAATGGAGCGTTTGATCGACTACGGGTGCGTGGTTGCCAAGTTAGGATTTATAAAGCCGAAGTGTCTAAATATGTTTTTCTCGTCTATCCAATCAATTACAAGGACATTAATTTACGAGTATTTAAGAATAACAATCGATTTAGTATTTTTACGGCGAGTAATTGATGACATTATTGATCATATTACTGGCTTCGTTGTTCGTAAACTAACGACTAAATTAATTTGTGATGATTGCACTAAAGTTTTAACTCGAACCTATTCTAAATCTGGTCCATAATGACCACAAATAACCAAGGCGGATTAACTATTCACTAGTGAATACATAATTTATTATACGAGGTTTACGGGCATTACGCGTTAAATTATTTTCATAGGCCAATTCAGTTTTTGTTAACACCCCGAATACAAAAATTATTGTATCTCTATCCTCGTCAATTTTCTGACTACTACCCTGTACCCCCAGCCAACGTTGATGATATCAATTATTTCATGGCGTAGACTATTAACGGGACAGTTGTCGTAAAATTGCATGTGGTAATATAATTTTAATATTTTTTTATAATATGTTTGCATGTGGCTACAATTCCCCTAGCATTTTTACCAGTGTTGCCGTTTTAGCTATTTTATAAAACTATAATTAGGACTGTTCTAACCGCGGATTAAGATATTTTGGTCCGTAATTCCAACACGGAACTTGGGACTAGTTGCGGACCACGGTTTAAGGTATTCTGGTTACACAACGAGCTAGGATAAGAACTTAGAATACCAACTGACATAGAATATAGTAAATTGAGATATTTCAATATCAACCACTCCTCCTTTCGAACACAAAACCAAACGGAGGATATTTGTCAACAAATCGTTGGTAGGTATTGGTGAGGTAACTCACGGATTCACGGATTTTTACCGTTTATGGGTTATGAAAGTTTAGAACGGAGTGCGGAACGGTTATGGATTTATCAGTGTGGTCCGAACATTTTGTAGTTGACGGGCCAGTATACGAGGGCTAATCAAAAAGTATCAAGACTGGTAGTATCATTTGNATCCGGATTGCGGCCCATGCAAATTAGGTAGGAAATACCGTTTTCATTGGTTATTAAAACTAAATAAGTATCCCGGTTACGTTCAAAGTATTTTTATATAAATATAATACAATTCATTTACACGAGCCATCTAATATATTCGTCACAAATAGTGTTTTTCAATTTATTATACGAGGGCTAATCAAAAAGTATCAAGACTGGTAGTATCATTCAGAAAAAGAGCATCGAAGAGCAGTAGGATTGGTATCACTTGCTTCTATGATTTTTTCTGAGTACATTTGTTTTTATTGCTTCTCTATAAAATTCTTCGGTTTGATTTCACTGATATTTTTGTAAAATATATTTTTCGAGTTTGGCGATTTTGTAANAACTTGACAGATTTGGAGATTTTAGAAAATTTGTCTGCATTTTTTTCCAGTTTCAGAGGGACGCAACATTTCATGGTTTTTGCCATTAAATATCAATTGAAAAACTGAAAATGTGCCCTCGAGTGGCAGCGAGTTCCGCTTCTTTTGGATTCATTACGAAATCGCCAAACGTGAATAACAAATTTTAGAAAAATATCGTCAAACCAAAACGAAGAAGTTTATAGAGATTTTATACGAATAGATGTGCTCAGTGTAAGTCATAGAAGCTACGTTTACAAATCGTTTTGCTCTCCAACGCTCGGTTTCCGAGTAATATTATCAGTCTCGATACTTTTTGATTAGCCCTCGTACACTTTCATAAACACACCGGGGGCCGCCGAAAGAGCAACAATGATATTATTACCTATTTATATTTCATTTCGTGTAATGCGCACAATTGTTACATTACTGATTAAGTTACTTATATTTAGAATTGATTAGAATTCAGAATACGTATGCACGACAGTAACACGGGCTCGACTGGTTAATGATTACCGATTAGACTTAAGTTTGGAGAAATATTTAATGCTCGCGATTGTGCGATTGTGAATAATATTCACGCCGGCCGTCGCGTCTTATCGCGATACGACCGACTACCGGGAACTCGCATCGTGTAACAATAAAATGCAACATTTATATGATCATATTACGATTTTGCCATAATATTATTGTGATTTTAATTTTTAATTAATAAAAGTAATTATTAATTTAATTTTAATTTTTTTTTTTTTTTTGGGGGGGGGAAGGGGGCAAAAAAAAAAGGCTTCCAGGGCCGCGGGTTGGACCACCCTGGTCTAAACAATGATACGAAATTTATTAGGCACTATTATAAGGATGAAAATACAGTAAATATACATATAATTGCATTTTTTATTTTATTTTTTTTATTTTTTATATTTTTGTAGACTAGAGGTTCGCAAATATACTATAATCCATTAAAACGCCATGCATGCATTAACTTTTAAAGTTTCCAATTACAAAATTGAACTTATTTTTAATTTAAATTGGGTACGTATGTACATTTAAACGTGCAGGGGGTATATATTACCCCTGCAAATAGGGATTTGAATCTGTATTTGTGATGTGAAGTGGTACAAATAAAGGTGTACATCTTTAATGTTAAATATGAATTAAAAATAAATACCAAATACAATATTGTTTATTAGAATAATTAAAACGAACTCAATATTTATGATAACGGAACAATATGCTTTATAATTCAAATCTATCACATGTATAATTATTTATAAAAAAAAAAACTATACAAATAATTATAAATAATAAATTATCTACAGTAAATATGCTACTAGGCAACAAAATTCAGGATACGTAAACTTTATTCTATACGTGTAATTTTTAATCGCTGTTTTCAAAAATTTCTTACGGAAACTAAACTTAATAAAAAGCATTCAGTCTTGTAAGTTTAGTTTAAAATTATACAAAATTCATGTATAAATCTAGTTAACGACCCAAGTTCGTTTTTCAATTTTTTTTTTTTTCAAAATGTATGTTTTTGCCGGTACATTAAGAATCTAAGAAAAAAAATAAATAATCGGACGGATTTCTTTAGGAAGCTATGGGGGAAAACTTCATGAAGTTTATGTTTTCTGTTTCGTGTATTTCTTAGTTTTCCATTATTGTAAATTTAATAAAATAATACCTATATTTAATAATAAGCACTTGCACAAACTAATATTATAAAAGTAAAATTATTTCTATTATAACACGATATCTTGTTTACACCGTGGGAAATTCTAAAATTCCAAAACGGTCTCGATACGCGCCATATAAATGATGCACGTGTAGCATAGGCCCATCTGTCATGGAACGTGTCAACAAGATGATGATAACATTAACAAGTATTTTACATTAGAATACCGGAAGCGTTATAGCGCTCCATAATTTAGCAGGTTGCCTATTCAGCCCTTTTCTCCTTATCACTTTTATGTACTCGATAACCTTAGATACACATTATTTGTTGCCATCATCGAGATAGATCGGTGTCATAAATAGTATACGATTATGGAAACCAAATTTGTAACCAATATTTAAAAACCGAATGGCGCACTTCTCAATTTACTGATAACATAAACCTATTTCCGTGATAGTGTGTGTTTTTCCGATTATTACAGTGTATTTGTACCAGTGGCGGCTCGTGGGTTTTTAATGAAGTAGTGCACACCCAAAATAAAATTTAAAAAAATATAACCAATATTAAACATAATATATTATAAATTGTATTAAATAATTGTTTACAAATTTTAGTTATTTACCAATTACCTTTTATTTTGTTTATATTTTTACCCACAATAACAATAGTAAATACATAATAATAATGAAAATAAATAATACTAATACAAATAATAATACATAGGTAATACATAATACATTTACAAGTAAAAATTCTATAATTATTTGTATTAAATTATTACATTTCAGGTACATGTTTGTATGTTAAATCGATTCTTCTATCTTTTTTTTCTGCAAACCTGTTTATTACTTCTTCGTTGAAGTTTGAAATATTGTTGATCGTCCGTTTTTCGATCGATAACATTGCTAGTGCTGTAAGTCGATCTTCCGTCATTGAATTTCTCAAAAATTTTTTAACACGTTTCAATGTGGAAAACGATCTTTNTAAAATGGTCATTTGGGAAGTTATTTTCGTACATAGGAAATTTGGTGGATAAAAATAGGTGCGAAGCATTTAAGTGATTTTTATAATCAAAACGTTCTTTAACGTTGACAATAAAAATATCACATACTTCTTTTGCAGCGATTTTTCTTGTTTCAATAGTATCATCTTGTCTTCGTTTTTTCGTTGGATGATTTTGAGAGGTTTCAACGATGTTATCAATATTCTGTCTTTCTTTTAATATATTTTCTTCGAACCGAAAAATTGCCTTTGAAAGTTCTACAGGATCCATAGTTTGTTTTTGTAGTTGATTATATAAAATATCAACATGAGGCATTAAAGAATGAAACACTCTTAACCAAAATATAAATTTATCATCATTTAACATCCGATTCAAAGCTCCAGCTTGATTAATTGCTATGGTTTGATTAAATGTTGATTCAATTTCTTTCATACATTCAATTAACGGCTCAAGATTCTCATACACAGTATTTACTATTCGACTTTTAAAATTCCATCTAGTATTAGATGATCGAGGAACTCTGTATTTAACAATTTTATCTAAAACCGTAACCCGCTGTAGACTGTTTGAAAAAAAATTTGTTATATCAGTTAAGTTTGAAAAAAATATCCTTATCTAACGATTTTGTGAAGTTGCTTGAATTAAAATTAAATTAAGCTGATGAGCATAGTAATGTATGAAATCTGCATTTTTATAGCTATTATTTGTTATTTTTTGTACACCATTGAGACGTCCACTCATTACATTTGCGCCGTCGTAACTCTGACNACGATTTTGTGAAGTTGCTTGAATTAAAATTAAATTAAGCTGATGAGCATAGCAATGTATGAAATGTGCATTTTTATAACTATTATTTATTATTTTTTGTACACCATTGAGACGTCCACTCATCACATTTGCGTCGTTGTAACTCTGACAAATCAACATATCTGACGATTCTAGGACTTTTTCCAAGTTGAATATTATACATTCAGACAACGATTTCGCATCATGTCTAGTAGGATTGAAAAATCCCCAAAACCTTTCTACTGGTGTTTCAATTATTGAAGAAAATGTATAATGCCGATGTAATTATTTTACCATAATATGTCATATACATTGTTGATAAAGCAATCACACTATCAACTGAACTCGGCTGAGAATCGTTTTTTCGTTAGCAATGATTTATCGTTGCTTACAGATGTACATTAAATTCCACATCGCCTATCTTTTCAACGTCTCACCTACAATGGTGGATGCACCTACGTGCGAAGTATGTCCGTCTCGATTTTTATCGGTGTCCGTGGTATCTGTGCAATACGTATTATATTCTAAAATAGTGAAATATAAGAACAAACTACTAGCAATTTAATTTCAAAGGGTGCAATACACTATACAGTACAATACGGAACAGTTATAGTCAGTTTATAGCTAAAAATGTAAATTGCCCTTTGAATTTTATTAATTAATTAGGGTGGTCATATTATTAACATAATCAACATGAACATGGGCGGATCGGAGAGAGATTTCGGCCGGGGAAAATACAGATGTACCAACCCACTTATTAATTTACCGAATACTGAATTTTAGTTAACATGTATTATCATTATTTTAACATAACTAAACATTTGTTTTTATACATTTGAAAAAATAATAATATGCATTTTTAAGTTCTGTTATTTGTCAATCATATCCGTGTGTAATATTTTATATTTTGAACTATATTGTTTTTGTGTTATTGAACACTCTACTCCATCAAATGCTCAAGCTTAAAGGAATAAATATATTCTTTTTATATTTATACCTATATTTCATTATATGTACATTTACGGACATTTTAAATTTAATAGATAGGCAATTTATTACCTTTCCCTACGCCTCCGGTCTAAACTTTAAATTGTTATAATTTATAACACATAAACGGTAAATATGATATAACTCTTATGCATATCAAAATTTCTAGAAAAATATTTTCTATTCAAATATGTGTTCAAAAGAATGGGGGTTCCTATTTGAATAACAAAAGCATGTACTTATTTAAGGTACATGGAGTAGGGGTAAAAAATTGAAAACGGTTTTAAAATAAAGCTAAATAATTCCATAATGATTAAACGAAAAGTAACGAAAAAACAAAAATCAAATTCATTTAAAATCCTCCAAAACAATTGCAAGTTCCTGGTTACAAAAAACAAACATACTTTGTACGTGGGTGCAGCCACTGTTGTAGGTGGGAAGTCGGGAGGGTAAGATACAGACGGAAATTTAATGTATATCTGTAACCAACGATAAACCATTACTAACGAAAAAACTATTCTGAGCGGAGTTCAGTTAATAGTGTTTCTTTGTCAACAATATTATATACGAGACATATCGTATGTCATATTTTGGAAAATAATTAATTATACATTAAACATTTTCTTCTCATGCCGATTTCCTTTCAGAAAAAGGCGTTACACTTAAAAATTGGAGCAAGATTTCCGGTAGAAAAGTTGCGCACAGATTAAAACAAAAATAAATAAATAAACTTCTTTGTAAAACCATAAGTGCCAATAAGTATCTAAAATAATTAATGAAAAAAATTACCATTTTTTAAGTTTGTAGGGTCTTAGAATTCCCGTTCCTGAAACTTTTGAATTCCCGGAAATTTCCGGAAGGGCCAATCCTAATCATAATACGGTATGAAAAATAGGGTGACCGTTTTAAGTTATTTTTTGTTTTAATTTAAGTAACCTTTAAAAAAATCTATCAATGAAATTCAGATGTATCCCGTATTCAAATCGGTCATATCCTCCCTACCAAATAATCATAATATTATTAGGTTATAAACTTTTTTTTTACATTCTGAGTTAAGTGAGAAGCGTTATGATTTTACTATGATGTGTGCTTATATATTTTCTTCTCGTATATTTGAAACTGAAATTAAAATGTTCGGTTAAATCGTTACTATTTGTGCGAAAATTATGTAAACTAAATGGTGTACACTTCTGATTTTACGAGTATACAATAAGAAAAAAAAAATTCCGAAATTTATTCTTTTGATAAAGGTGGACAAGTTAAAATCTTGATACCTGCTCTCTCTATATTATATCATTAGGTAAAATACAAAACAGACTATCAACGCTTAAATCTCTAAATTGAGAAACTTTAAATTGTTCACAGAGGTTACTTAATATACACAATAGGCAACCGCCAAGATAAGATATTTCAAAATTCAACCTTTAAAGATGGCTGACACAGGGTTTTTGGTACATTTGGAAAGAAAAATTGTTATTGTTATTATTTTTGTTGATTTATCGGTTACTATGGGGACATGGATGAAAAATCAGTCATTGTATTATCATTGACCATAAATACTAGTACATTGTTTTTGTTTTTACAATGTACTTATAATCAATGGTATTAGTTGATTTGGTTGTCACGGGCGAAAAAATGCTTTTTTAAAAATAAATTAACGCGCAGCCTCGTTCAACTGTGATAGGGATGGGGGTAGAAACACGTTTTTAAATTTATTTTTTCGTTCAATGCCGAAAATTGTTTTTACGGCCAAGGTGAACAATATTAAATATTTATACCTAGGTATTAAAACATAGAGGCGTGACTTTTTCCGCATTTACTACACGAGTGTTAAAGATATTGCATATACTGTTGGGGCACCTGGGGCTGGAGACCGACGTTATTGTTGAATACGGAAAAGAAAATCTACTACAAAAATACATGAACGCCAAATCTATTGTAGCCTGTGGGATTTATTATTTAAACATGTAACCTCATCTGTATGTCACCGGTTACACAATGTACTGTACTCTTAAGGCCCCTATTTCGAATCATTTTAAATTCAGGTTTTCTTTTCCGAATGCTCAATTTTACAAGATAGTGTAACTATCTCTAAATTGTCAAAGTTATAACTGTAGACTAAGTGCCAAATTAAGTAGAGGTGTACATTTTAAAACCGAAACGCGCATTTTAATCTCATATGATTATTAACTAGTTTTTACGAACGTTCACCAAATGGCAAACACCAATCAGTGTTGCCAGGTGCAGCGGAATTGCGCTACACGTAGTGCTTTTTCATTATAATTAATTGCCGTAGCGGTCCTTTTAAGTGAAAAATGAAAATGTAGAGCTTATTCGCTTCTTATAATCGTAAATTTGTTTTTTAATTTTGCGATTGGAATATTAATAAATCGATGTAATTTTTATTGTTCTAATCTTAGATAATAAATAATAATAATTCTTTATTATGTATGGTTCGATGGTTATATCAAATTTTCAAACACGGTAAAATTATGGTATAACATTATAACCATGTTTTCAAGTAATATGAATTACAGATGTATGTGATAATAAAGAAAATCATCAAGGACAGTATTGAAAAATGAACTCCAATGCACCATTCAAATCAAAAATTGTAGGAGAAATAAATAAAAATAAACTTTATGATCGGAGCAATATTTCTAATAAAAAATAATTGTTTATGAACACAATAACAAAATAACAAAAATAAAACACATCATAGGTATGTAGTAAAAATCAATACATTCCTCGTTTCGCTCAGAATCGAATAAAGAGCTAAATGATTAAATAATTTCATTACATCATAACATGCAGCTTTTGGTATTTCCGAGAAATTGTCGATTTTATTTGTAATATTATCGTTAAATCTCGCGATCATCACGCAATACCGAAAAACAGGAATTCACTCTTAGTAAGAGTAAATCCGCATTGGCAATCAGTTTATAATAAATATTGCGATTTTTTTTTTTTTTTTTAATACATATCTGTAAATAGACAAATAGTTAACGACTGAATAAAGTCATTATTTGTAAATAATTAATTTTATTAGTTTGTTCCGTCGTATAATAAAAGATAATATTGTATTATAATAGTTTGTTCGTATACAGAAGATAGATTGATTGCAAGGTTTCGTTCTAACTACGTTTGTATAATATAATAAAATAATATGTATAAGCTATGTACATACGTATTGAACAAAAAAAAAAAAAAATAATAATAATAATAATAATAATAAAAAATAACAATAATAATAAAATTAAATGTATACAATGCATTTTTAACGTCAAAAATTTACGTACACGTTTCTACCGATTCGGTATAGAATATATTTAAATATTCCTAATAATATAATATTCGTGTCAATTTTTTTTATTTGTGTATATATAGGAGTCTTCAAAAATAATATGAAAACCAATAATTGCGTTTTATCGACTACGTGACCGTGTGCAGGATCCATGGTACGAATTTGGATATCCTAGTGCACACTCCCGGCAGATTCGCCTCCGCGCATCCGATACCCCAACTTATGATGCCGGCCAAAAAGTATCGTCCGTCTCTGCCCTTTACTTGCAACGGACCTCCAGAATCGCCCTTTAATGGTACACAAATATTACGCACGTTATTAAGAATAATATTTTGTTTCGTTCTGGTGAAATATTATGTTTGCTTTTGGATTGTACTCACTTGACAAGAATCACGACCGCCTTCGTCGAATCCGGCGCACATGAATATGTCCGGTATGTATTCGTGTCGGCCGGCTCTCAAAAACATACTTTTACACTTGTCATTGCTAACAATTGGTACGTTCACCTATATCACATATATAAATAACAAGTTTATAACTGAATTGTATTCAACATCCAGGGATGGGCAAGATACTTGAAAAAAGTATCTAGATACAAGTGGAATGGAAAATGTGGAATGTATTACACATCTTCCAAAAGACATACTAGACACTGGATACTATTTTTTCCTTCCCTTCGGATACAAGATACTAGATAATAAATACATCATTAATAAAAAAAAGGAATAAAAGTTCACTTATGATATCAGGTTTCAACTTTGTTTTTAGACAAAATATAAATACCAGAAGAATATATAATATCAAAAATGACAAATTACAATTACCGTACCTAGCTTATTCAAAATAAAAAACTACAATATAATTTAAAGACTCAGATAACGAAACCAATTAAATACCTATTGGTTATTTTCTATATAATAGGTAGGTAGCACTATTATCTGCGTTCAATGACACGGACTTTTTTGTGCGATTTTATAAATTATGTCAGAAATTTCAAGACGTTTTATTATTATTGATTTGTATAACATGTGTGATAGGTCCTCATGCTATTTTATCGTCATTGCCATATAATCACAAGCATGTAACCACGGCAATGTAATTATTGTAAAGAACATTCACGATTAGAAAGAAAAAATAAACAGTTGTTGGGTAGTAGAAAGGAAAATAGGATAGAGAATGAGTATAGCAGGGATGTGAATGCCTAGATGGATGAGTGGAGGTAGCATAACGGGTAGTTTAAATGCGGCTTCGATAGTAGACAAAATGAGAGGAGATAGACTGACATGGTTTAGGCATGTCTTGAGGAGAGACGAATCATATTGGGTCAAGTAGAAGTTTAGGACGAGGGTGGTCGACCTCAAATAGTTGTTGAGGAGAAGAAAAGTAAGAATAGGAGAAAGCAAGTTCCTACGAACACAAGTTTCTTTTCAGGCAGTGCGCTATCAGGAGCACGTTTGGAAGCGAGGCTATTGACGAAACGGTTTGGGTAGGTGTGGCAAGGCGCGGGTGAAGTGAATCAATTAAAGCATTTAACTTCGTTAATTAAAATTGTATTATATGTCACCCGAATAAGAATAATGTTAAGATTTACCAGAATTGTAATTTTATCAAATATTTAATAAACACGAATTTGATACAATAATAGCAGCGCTTGTATCGCGATACCGTTAAATATTTTTCTGTAAATCGATTCGTATTTTAATTTTTTTCATTGAGCTTGTACGTAAATATTATACTGCTGTCAGCTGGTCCAATACAAATTTAGCACGCACGTGTAATAAAACGTTTGGCAAAATGTTTGTGTTTAGATAAGTCTCGTGTTATACTCCGAAATTTCCCGGGAATGTTGTAATTTGCGTTTTAATAAACGATTTGAATTCATGAAATGTTGAATGCAATAAATAATATTATTATTAAACTGATGATTTTGTACACTTTTTCGGGAAAATGCAGAAGCAAAATACATTTTTTTCTATTTATTTCGTATACATTTATTGAAAAATGTTATTAATTTGTATAAATATATACATATTTAATAGAAATGGCGGAACACCGAAATTAAAATACGTAAATTAAAACAAAATCTGGACGCAATTCGCATCACTAGTACACCACTGTAGTAGGTGAGAAGATTTAATGGTAAATCGCAAAAATATTCCGAACGCAGTAGTATTAGATAAATATATGCATAATATAATAGTATTAATCGTGTTTTTTCCCCCCTTGTATAGCTACTACCGAAGTGACCCGGATAGCCGGTAAAATCAAGACCAACGTAATTGTCGACGTTTGTTGTCGGTTTCTAGATCCAGAGCGTAGCGAGGAATGTATTGGTTTTAAAAGCGATGTTTAATTTTTATTCTGTGCGCAGCTACCAGAAATCTTGTTCCGGCCGGTCAAGTGTAGCACCCTTTCTAAAAGGAAATTTTATCTATCTGATACTCATTTCTCGATTTTTCACGCGGGGTTGGGTCAGGGTTTTGTTATAATTGGGAAAAACGGGAAAATGTACGTACACGTGTAAAAGAAATTTCGCTCCGAATCGTTTTTCGATAGCGACGGTTTGTCGTTGCGTACAGACATAAATCAACTTTCAATTAATAATCAATCCAAAATTAAATTAAAAATGTGTCGGAATATGTCTGTGTACTTTTTTTTTTAAAATGTTCGGTATAGCTGTCGGGAGGTCATTCGAGATATTGCGCGTAATAAAACCGAAGCATTTCACCCGAAAATAAAAAAAACCACACGCACATGACTTGGCATAAAACACTACGCGATAGCTCCTTCGTCTTCGTCCTTTAGGACGCGAAAATAATTAAATAAATCAACGGATAAAACACGATTGCGTAGGACGTTACCCGATTTTCGGTTACACGATTGCGCACGAAATGTTAAGCGTTGTTGCCAATTTCCATACCGGTGTGTGCCGCACAAGTGAAACTAGAAATTCCGTTTATCCATAAACGTTTATTGTCGACGATATCAACGTAGCATCAAATGCATCTCAATATGCTGGAAATTTCGTTATTTCGAACGTATAGGTATTTGCTGCCTTTCGGTTCGTCGTTGATCGTCGCACGTGTGTACATTTTATCGACGTACAATTCTATTGAACTCATAAAACCCGATACAGACAAATACGAGCGGTCTGGTGTTTTTAAACGTCAATAGACAAGACCGAATATTCAATGAATTAATGACCGGGGAAATAAAGAAAATGGCCAAAATACCATTACGCGCGGAATTCAAAACAGTGTACAGGGCTAGCGGTGTGTACGCGATCCGTGCAGAACGCATTGCAACGTTCGCGCGGACGCGTTATCGTTATACGTTACCTCTTGCAGCACGGACGGCAATGTGCCCCCTTCGCTCAGCCGTCCCCATCCGGTCACGGTGGCGTTCTCGCCGATGAGCAGGTCGTCCGACCCGGGCAGGCATATGGGCACGATGTGAGGCGCGTAATTCACCGGCGTGTCGAACCGCACCATGGCCAAATCGTATTCGTACGTGAAGAAATTGTACTTGGGATGGACGAGCTTCCGGGCGACGGCGCGTTCCACGAACGGATGCGGCTCGTGGTCGGACGAGAAGTCGTACTCGCCGACGCGTATGCGGATTTGCGACGTCAGCAGGCTGCGGAGGATCGCGGTTTTAATACATTGCGAATGGCGCACGGCCGCCAGCGAACGGGCCGTTGGCGGGCGGGCGGGCATGCGATCAGACGGGGGCACGCCGCGGTTCAAGATGACAGCGTACCGGGCGGACGGCGGCGGCACGCGATATCGGGCGGCTGTCGAACCGAACGCCGTTTCAAAGGAACCGCGTGCCGGGACCGATCACGGGCGCTCCGGGCCAGACGGTTATTATTGTTAATATAATCTGTGCGCAATCGGTTATAAACGTGCGCCGACTGTTGGACAACGCGCGATTCGTATAGATTCGTCTTGAATCGCGGTAGATGTTAGAACGAGTCGAGTAACAGATCAATAACGGGACGGCTCGCGGAGCGCACGCCGGGAGCGCCGGGCCGTTACGGTCGCACAGCAACCGATTTGGCGATCCGGTTCGCGGTCCGCGAAAAAATCGGATTGTCGCTACGCGTCGTCTAACCAGCGTTGTCATGTTGAACCGCGGTACGGCGATCAACGTGGCCGTCGCGCGCAAGACGCCGATTGCCTCGGGAACGTTAAACATTTCTCGAAATTCCTTTTTCCGGAAAATTCGATAAACAGACCGCTCTAAAACCGTAACGTTATCGTTATTTTCTGTCGCCTTAAGTTTAGTTTTTTTTTTTTGGGGGTGGGGAGGAGGTACGAAACCATTACTGGCTTTTGACCTGTACTCCAAATGCCGTAAATAGATGTAGATTCAATTTAAAAAAAAAAAAAAAATACATTTCGCCGTTGACGTTTTTTAATTTCCGTCAACTCTCCGACGAGGCATTTCCCTTTAAAGTTTACAGTTTCGTGGTTATTCGACGGATGGGAGAGTAGCGGAACACTGTTCAAACGCCTTGCGTCCCGTCGCATAAATGACGCTTCACTACTCTTTTCCAGTCCACACTTAAAAGTGTCACAGTTCTCGTCGACGGTAGCATGCGCAGGGGGGGAGAGGAGATCGTGAGTTATATTTCCCCTATTAACTTAAAAACTCAAAACAAAAAAAAATATGAGTAATCTAAAATCGAAATGCATATATTTCAGCCAAGTTACGAGGAAAAACTCGATGTATTGATTAGAAATTGGAGTGTTTTTTTTACGATCCAGCTTTTATATTACCAACTCCCCATAGTCGAGTAGGGCAAGGAAGACGATCGCACTATTTATTCACGATTTACATCCCCATCCGTTGAAAATTCCTGGGCACGCTACTGTGACGGAAAGTAAAAGTACATCTATCTACGGAATTTTTAATGTAGTTTTATTAGATTTCATTCCCCATAACAAGGAAGACAAAACATAACGATAATGGTCACATTTTGGATCTGTTATCGTTGTTTAAATGTTTAAAAAATAATAAAAAATTTCGAGATATTTTCCGAGATTTTCCGTTTGTCTTACGTTATATTTTATCATTTATATCGAAGTCAACTCACTCGTCTACGCAGTGGCCGGCCGTCGCTATCCAATTTTCGTTTAGCAAAGCCCCTCCGCATCGATGCGTACTGGAAAACCCGAAAAACGACGTTCTTCGCACTGAAACCTTTAACCGGGACACCGAGGATTAATTTTAGAACACGGGAAAAAAAATCTATTGTATATTACGCAATGTATGTGTATTCAGTATATAAATATTTATGTGTTTATGCATTTTACCTGCCAAGGCCAACTGCCGAACGCAGCGTTTCTGCCGCCGACGATTCTGACTTCGTGCCTCGGGTGCAAAGGCGCCATACCGCACGCTAAAGACGAACAAAAAGAACCGAATGAAACGCGGACGTTTTATTTCGAACGCAATCTTTACCTGCACTGTTAGGGACCCGCAGCAAACCGTACAGACGTTTTGTCGACCGACAGTGTAGTCGGGCGCTCATTTACGAGTGTGAAAACGTATGCGAGCGGGCGCATGGTAACGATTCGGCATCGGCCGAAAAAACAAGGAGTTTGACGGGCCACACGGACGCTTTCAAACTAAAACGTCGGCGAACTCTCGGCCGATCTCTTAATCGGTATTAGTGCGCGCGGGTTTTACATGTCCGGCAACGAGCGTGCAAACTGGCTCGTGTAGATTCAATTCGCGCGCGTACTTGAACGTATATTTTAATACAACTAACCAAAAATGATTTAAAATGCGTAGATCCGGATTGAGCGAGTTTATTGAGACGCATAGGTTATTATTATTATTAAATCGTTGTTCGTTGAAATTCGATTTGTGCCGATTGATAAATCGGAAAAAATAAGCCGAATAACAATGCCGAAACCGAACTGAAAGTCTGACCGTCTAAACGCTCGCTTGAATGTTCGTCAAGTGCACAAGCTCCATATTTCGCACAAGCACGTTGCACGAGCACAACTGAACGTATGAATCCGATCTTACACCCGGCGATTATTCAGTCGGCCGGTACGTTGGATTCGCCCAGAGCTTTCGCGTTGTAGGGTAGCGGGTATTTGTCGCAACGTATTTCGATCGACGGAGTTTAAAAAAGACCGGCGCTCTAATATGATAAACGCTCGAAAGTGCACTCTGACGCGGAAGGAGGGACATTTTTCTCGGGAAATTCGGGACGCATATTTTAATATATAAGTTTTTGATTAATTTTTTTTATAATTCACGACGTGTCGCGCGTAAAACCTAGCCTCGCAATTGTCCGTCGTCGTATAGACGCACCCGACACTCTCGGTTTCTGTTCTCGATCCGTCCCGCCCGTCGTATGACAGCGAACGTTTCCGGACGACGTTTCGACGTTCCTCCATTCGAGAGCACCCAACCCGGTCGGACTGTCGGCCGACAAAACGTCTGCAGTTTCGCGAGGGCCCCGATAACCGCGGTTATTATTATAATGTAAACAGACTGCGGACGTACGCGTTGATTTTTGATTGGTCGGCTGATTGGTTTCGGCCGATACGCCCGGCTTGGCGGTGTGCTTTTCCGGTTTTCCCGGGACGGCGGTAGGCATCGCGGCCGTGTTCGCCGCGTTCGCGGCCGACGGTCTGCCGGTGGTAGTCGGAGGCGGCGGCGGCGGCGGCGGTGGCGGCGCGGGAGTGGTGGTGGTCGTCGTCTCCGGCGGGGCCGGGGTAGTGGTGGTCGTCGTCGTGGTGGTGGTGGTGGTGGTGGTGGTGGTGGCGGCGGCGGGTGCTGCGGTCGGGGGCGGTCCGGCGGCCGTCGACAACACTTGCGTCGGCGGTCTGAGGTGAGTCTGCGGCCTCGGTTTAGTGATGAACCCGTGATGGTTGCCCGCGCTCGAACTCCAGCTGGGTCTGAAAACGTACGCGTTAGGCCGGGGGCTGCACACCGGGGACGATTGTTTTCGTTTTATTTCGAACAAATGTAACAAAAAAATTCAAAAAAAAAAATAGTCCGCCGAGTCTCACGAAACTTGCCCGGCCTAACCGGACCAGTCGCGAGACCGCGCGATTGTGTGCTTCGCATGCTCGTTTTTATACAGGGTGATCGTATGAGACACTCGTCGTCTCGGAAAGTGATGAATTTTTTCGGCATTTGTTTTATTTTGATCATGTTATTTTTAGGAACAAACCTACTTTTGATTTTCAAACGGCAACCTGTATGAAAAATCCTATAAACGGACGGAGTATTGGTTGAAAAAAAATTTTGCCGTTGAAATCGTCGATCATTCCGTCGTTCCGTTGACGAGATGTTCCACTTTTAATGTTTGGGTCGAGACGGTGTAGTGGCACGTTAATAAACGAATTTTGAAAAAATTTAACACTTTCCAAGATAATCAGTGCCTCACAATAAATCGACCACTCTGTATTAACGTGTTATTTTACACGTGGTCAACGCGTGTCAATTCGTTTATTTTAAATAGGTCGGAGCGGGTTTTCCGAATTTCCTCTGTGTTAGATTTAAACGTTCGTTTTCAACGTTATGTGGACCGCTTAAACGATAAGGCTTTTCCGCCTATCTACTGTCCGTTATCAGTTTAAAGAGATACGGTACGGGATGTTTTGCATATTTTAAGCGCGTACGGATTTGTCGACGAATTGTCATAGTTTCTTAGAAAGTCGATTTTCGATTTAAAATTCGGTACGCCTAAAACAATGACTAATGTAATTCGGTGTTTTCACGGAATTTTCAAAAATAAAATCATGATTTCGAAGGTCTTCATAACCGAATAATTGAAAATCGAATTCCTAAAAAACCTATAAAATTTTTCAACAAATGCCTGCGTAATTTACAAACTCAAATAGGTCATTGGGAAACATGTCAAATTTCTCATCGGTTATTGGTCTATAACGCGTGGAAACTAGGTGAGCTCCGACTTACCCCTCTCCCCCCCTCAAATGGATATTACGTTTGTTTCAACCGTTTTTTATCGTAACAATCAGCATTAGCACGTTCTCCTCGTCGGACCGCACTGCAGAAACTTGGACACTTTAGTTTCATTGGCATGCGACAATTATTGCGAAACGAATTTCAGAAAACGAGCTTCGTGAAAATTGTTGAACGAAACTAGTTTTCTGTATCGGCACTGTATGTGCAGTCTCCCTCGGTCGTTCGGTCGCGGTTTGTCCGCGATCGTATTATTTAGTTTCCATACGCTATATTGGTTTATTATCGAGCACTCGAGCCGTGTTATTCAAAGATGAAAACGTTTTGAAATATTTACAGGGAGAAAAACAAATTATGATTCACGGCTGTGCGCTCGAAACCGCTTGTTCCGGCGCCGGCCCGCAATCGCGAGCCATCATAATCTATAGCGGGCGCGTGTAGGCGCTGCTTCGAAACATTACGGAGTCGTAACGGTTTTTTAGCAAAACGGTCCGTTTTAAACGAGCGTTATCGACTTCAATTCCGAGACTCGGCCGCCGAGCAAAGCTGACGAGTATAAATCACGTCGAACTCGACACGGCGGGAGATCCTCGGACAAATAATGCGTGGCAGAGTGGAAACGGAGGAAAAACACCGAGCTAGAGGGGAATAGAAGAGAAATTGGCCGCGATTGGCCGGAGTGGTTAAAAACTAAAGGCGGCGTTGGAACGGTAATTTTCACGAATATCTCCGCGAAACAAATTAATCGCATACAAAAGTATGTCCCAGTGTTATCCGTGTGATAATAACATTATCAAAATTCATTTTTTTGTCATTCATTTGTATTGGGGGGGAGGAGAGGGACTCGGATTTAGAGAAAAATTTAATATTTGCAGGTCCCCGACCCCTGTCTTATAGTCTCGTTTTTCACATTTTTCTCTAGACATTTAAATCGATATCTTTTACCAAGAAACTGTTGATCGGATATGATGCGTTTAAATGTCCAGAACAATATACTTCACGAATCGGCTATTTCGAAAATGTAAAAAAAGTGAAAAAATAAAACGTTATTTTTTTCCAGCGATCAAGGGATGAAAAAAATTTAATTAAATTTTTCCTCCACGTTCGTGTCCCCCTGACACAAAACCGGATTGAAAAATTACCGTCAGAGTCAATAAGCACGTGGATAACACCGTAGGACACCCTGCATAAACACAATATGATATCATTGTACGAATTTTCCACGATAACGGATAAAGATTTAAAACGGTTTGAAAATAAAAAAAAAAAAAAAATAGATTTCGATATTATCATCGTGGCGTACGAACCTGTGCGACCACACCGAGTCCACTTTGTTGTCGTTGTCGTCCACTTCTTGGACGGCCGGTCGACTAGTGGTGGTGGTGGTGGTGGTGGTTATGTACGGCTGTGCCGCCGGCCTGGACATGAAGTTGGGCCTGTTGTTCGATATGAAATTGGTGGACGGTATCCGGTTGACGTGCGGCGCCGACGGCGGCGTCTGCTGCGTGGCCGACGACTGGTAATGGTACTTTTTGTCGACGGACGACACGGAGGTCGCGGCACCGTCCGCGTCCATCACGTTGTTGGGCCGCATCATCACCTGGGACGGCCGGTGCGGCCTGTGGTGCGGCCGCTGCGGCCGCTGCGACACCTCGTTGCCGCCCGGCTGCGTGAACAGCACGGCCGGTTCCGACGAGTCCGGTAACATGGCCAGCTGCGCGGTGGTCAGGTTGTGCGCGCAACAGCTCCCGAACATGAACGTGTCCACGCACATGCCGATGTGCCGGCCGTAGCTGTTGATGCACTCGTAGACGAACATGCACGTGCCCTCCAGCGTGTTCACCGAACATGGTTTCTTGTTGATCTTGTAATCTGCAACCGGACATTGATCGATTGTAATGCGGTACGATAACACAGCTAGGGCGGAAAAGCGGGGCGGAAGGTATGAATGCGCCGACGGGATGTGACGAAACGGATTGCCGTGTCGGTGACAGTAACAACAGGTGTACGCGGGCAGGTCGGGTTGCGACGGACCGCCCCTGTCACGTGCGAGCGCACGGCGCGTACGCCGAGAATTCGGCGCCGATCCTGTTCCCCGGTCGGCTCCGATTCTCGCGACACGACAATGTCGTTATCAGTTTATATAATTCCGAATTATGGTAATGTGGCGGTGTTTCGAATGTCACAACTCGGACCGAATTTATTCGCAATAATTTGCACCCGTGCGTATTCGATGTGTCAGTATATGTCAGTTTAATAAAGCGATAACTGTTATATTTTCCATGACAAATTACGCACATAGATAATGGGTTCGGGACAACGTTTTTCAAAAAGAAATCGGTACATTTTTCGGCGCACGCGAAAAATCGGAACGCGAAGAAGAACACGCATTAGGTCGGATGGAAATCCGTTTGAATTTTTTTAAAAAAAAAAAAAAAAAAAAATATTTGATTTCTAATAGGTAATACGTTACATTCGAATAAATTAAATACGTTTTAAATAGCACCCGAAATAGTAATTTTCGCTCTCACGGTCCGTCATAACGTGCAAATCGCAAAAATGTCGATTGTTCACAGTTCCTATGGGCGATTTGGAACACTCGTAACGACAGTTCAAAACGAATGCGATTTAATTGTCCAAAATGCTAACACCGATTAAATTTTTTTTGTTCATTCGATAAATATCACACCGAATACTGTGCTCTATAAACTGTAGGAACTGTGCAGGAATCGTAGCCAATCGGATTTAGAGCATTGGCGTGCGGTTCCCTAACAGTGTACGCTGTGTGCGCATACGCATCCCGCGAGGAAGTCGCGACGAGCGGTGTAATGTTCGCGCACTTTGTGAAACAATTATTTATAAGTATTAGCATTTGCAACCGGATTCGTTTTTCGCGTTGATTCAAAAATAGCTACTAATAACTAACGGGGATAGGTATTACACGTCCGTAGCCGATATAAATTATTATTTTTTTTAAATTTTAACATACAGTCTATGCGGGTACAGTAAACAAAAAGAAAAAAAAAAAATGTCTAAGTAAATGCAATTTGTGTGTAAATAATTTACGTATATACACGTACGAATTGCACAAATGCATGCATTGATTTTGTAAGTGTGTTATAGCGCGGATTTTAAATTTGAATTCTATAATCGTTTAGTCACAATTTGAACGCAATATGAAAAAAAAAAAAACATATTCCCGTGATCATCCTGGACTTTTATGCCAATGACAACACGTAGTGTGAACAACGATCATAAAAAAATGGTGGTAATATTAAATATTCAGTGGACGAATTTTCCGTGTCGAATATTTAAAATTCCTCATGCTTGCACTATAAAAGATTAAATTAAACACCGGTAGATTTGCCCAGTCTCTAAATCGAGATCAATGCGTCGGTTTCTTCTTTCGACGCGTACAGATAATATCGAAAACGCAGGCGATTAAAACGGATAAAATATTGGTATTATTTTTTTCCAATTTCATTCGTGTCGGTTTTAATAACATTCGTGTTGTGCGATATTTAAATCGTTTTTTTTTTGTTTTTTTTTTATTACGTTTAGTACTAGTGTTTCGTTGTTTCCCGCTCCCGTTCCTCCGCATTGTTCTTGCCGCATCTCGCCGTACCGCGTGCGGATATTGGAGCCGCCGTCCGCAGCCCTCACGACAGCGTCACGCGCGTATAGATCGGATTACGGTCACGTGCCGTTGCGAACCGTCCGTAGCGAACCGTTCATTCCGGCGTCACAACGGCCGGCGGTACCGACACATCGTCACCCGGCGACATTGTGGAAATTCGCAAAAAACAGAAAGAGTCGCCGATCGCCCCCAATATCGGAAACGACACCGCGCCCGGCGAAACGGCCGTTCCCGTAACGCCGCGCCATCGGTCCGCCGTCGGCGAGACGTCGAATCCCCGGCGGCGCCCGGCCGTCACGCTCGCCTAAAACCCGAACGAAATCTAAACGATATCCGTTCGCCAAGTAAAAAACGTCGCGTCGCCGTGCGCGGGCCGACGGGCGGACGTTGGCGTTGTACGCGGCGCGACGCGCGTTGTGATAACACTCGGGCGCCGCCACTGGTCCGGTGTTAACACGCGCGGCCGTTATCAATTATTCCGCCATCCCACGCGCGGTCGGTCGGCTCACCCGGGTCCGCCCGACGTTAAATAATAAAAGGCGACGCGCGCTCTAGGTATTTCGAGTACGCACAAAGGTCCGTCGAATAATCACAAATAAGTTTTTTTTTTAAACTACTTTTGTACTTTTGTTCGAAACTCGCTTTTCACTTGAGCGTTTATTCTTCCGTTATTATTATGATCATTTCATTTTTTTTTATAATATTACCCGCATAATAAACGACCGTTTTATTTTTTCTTTAATATCCACTAGGCAGTTAGGCGCGTGTATACGTAGTCAAACTTTTTCCAAGGCAGTTAATTATTCCGATTTTACACCGGCGCAGGTGTAATGTTTTATTTATACTTTAAATCATTTTCAAAAAAACTCAAAATGGTTATATTTAAAAAAAAAAAAAAAGGGAATGAAAAACTTTATTAATTTATTGTGAACTTACTATTATTAAGCGCTTTATGATGATCATGGCCTTGAGACGATTCGAATATGGCGGTCAGTAGAGACATGACGATCCATGAGGTCGCTATTCTCATGCTGGCACGGACCTGCGATAATTTAAAACAATATTCGTTAGTATGGTAATGATTTGTAGTAATATTAATGCAATACACGGTAAAAAATCGAAGTAGCACACGTCGCGGAGTACATTAGAGATTCCGGCCCGTTGACAATTATTGAGCCAGAGCTCATATCGTTTACGCCAACGGTTATGCGAAAACGTGTATCCTTAACGTTTTAAAATACCGGAAGTTTTTCACAATAATTTAAAAATGTTATCGTTGTTTTGTTAAAATATACTGTACAGTTATTATGACGGCAATTGTTTGTTTAGCGTCCGTAACCGCGAATAACTATTGTTCACAGCGTGGTTACGGATATTTGAGGGTTCACGCGGTTCGTACCACGCGAGTGACACGCAGAGCGCATATTGGTGATAAATGATTAGAATTTATAGTTTCTCGGCTGCAGTAAACTTTGTTCGCGTTGCTCGCGAACGGAATCGTTATCGAACGACGGTTAAAATTCGTAGCGCGGTGTTTTCGTTTTACGTTTTCGGAAAAATCTTTCAAATTAAAAAAAAAAAAAAAAGGTCAGATGGTTCAAAAGTAATAAGTCCAGTCCCCGAAAAGACATTTTTAAACACCAGACGCCCGCGGGGAACAGGACAACAGTCCCGGAGAACCCGCGGTTAATAAGAACTCGGCCAGTTGTACCGACGCAGAATCCCGTGACCGATTACCGCGTGGCCAATCAGACGCTGTTTTTCACATCGCGATGGTTTTTCGGGGGGGCGACTAGTGTGTACTAGACGCGCGTTCAGAACGCGATAAGTTTTGTCGGGTTCGCACAAAAACGGTTATAGGTTACGTTTGGGTAGGTCGGATCGGCGTTATTCATAGTGCTTTTGGTATTTTCCACAATGGTTTCGGGACAGGTGCCCCGATCCATTGATATAAACGACATCGAAATTCGACGTTCGGCATTTACACGCAATAACGTTTACCTACAGATCCGGTCGGGTACAATCGTCGACGGTGAATTGATATGTTATAAAATTACGGCCGACCGAATTTCCCGGCGACGCGTTCAAAATCGTTTTCCGGACAATCGCCGCGCTCAAAAGTCTCGACACGACTGAAACTTGCGGTAATACATCGCCCAACCTAACCCGCGTCCGGCGAAATTCCGCAGTATATAACTGGATACGCTGTGTGCATTTCTTGTTTTTTTTTTTTTTTTTTTTTTTTTTTTTTTATATAAATACAGGTTTTCGTACGAAGAATGTTTTTCGGTTTTAACATTTCTGTTCGATCGTTCGGTTATGAAAAAAAAAAAAAAAAAAAAAACAGCCGTATTTTTTTATTATTATTATTTCATTAACGGTCGTGCCCGTACCACCTCGAATTAATTGTCGGTAAAATCGCTTTCATTTATATTAATAATTATACCGCGAACAAACTCAATTAACCATTGTCGTTGCGCGGGAGGTTCTTATTATTATTATTATTATTGTTTCATTATTCAATTAACCCGTATTTATCATGACTGTTCGCGAACATCGGGGGGGAGGAAAAAAAAAAAAAAAAAAAAACGAAAACGAAAACAGAAGAAGTTAAAACTACGGCCGGTTAAACAATGGCCCGGCTGCGCCGTCCGTTTAAATTGTTATCGCGGTCAACTCGCGCGATATTTTCACCCATTATTTTACATTATTATCGTTATTGTTATTATTGTTGTATATACATAGCGGTTCTGTCGCGCGTATCGTTTACGCCGATCGGCAACGGAGTGTGTATACACCGCGGGCGCGAATGCGTTTTCGCTTTTTTTTTTTTTTTATTCTCACTGCGTAGCGCGACCGATATTGGGACGACGGCGATCGCTTTTACGGCGAAAAACTGCGGGTCTCTTCGACGGCCGTTGGTCGGACGTCGTCCGAAAATCCGTCGTCGCGACGATCGGCCCGTTACGGTCGGCCGGGTTGGCCGGGCAGGCGTTAGGTTGGGTCGGGTTACTGAACGTCGCCGGCGGTGATCGTTTGCCGCGCGCCGTCCGTCCGCCTCGCGGCGCCAGCGTACTGTCGCACATCATTTGCGCGTCGGCAACGTGTACCGAACAAACAAACGTACACGAAAACCCCTACATTGTTCGCCGGCGTTTTCTTTTCCCGTGTACAAACGTTTTTCAAATTTTTTTTCGTTTCTAAACGACAGTAGCTTTTCCGGCCGCGATCCGCATTGGCGCGTTCCAACCGCGGACCTCGCGGCGTCAACGTCAAACGTCGACCGCCATAAACATTTCGTTACGGGCAACCGCGCGAAACCGTCTCGTCGCTCCGGGCGCGGGGCCGGGGCGTCGATCGAAAACGGTTTGCCACACGGACCCCGTTCTGTTCCGGGCCTGTCTGAAAGACGACGCCGCGGCCGGGATTTCGGTTTTTTCGAACGGGTTATTGTTGTCGGCGGGGCCGTCGCATCGGCGCGAGATCGCGTGTAAACTTTCGAGCGGGTCCCGAAAATCCCACCGCCGGCAACGCCGGGTTCACTAGCGAACGCGCGCGCCCGTGAACGGCGAAACGCATCGCGAATCTCTCGTATTGTTTTTCCGTTGTTTTTTCGTTTTTCCCCTCCGCCGAACGATTCGCTCGACACGAGCAACGCGCGCGTTTTTTCCTCGCATTCCGCAGCCCGATCCGGCGTACACCGGCCGCTGTAACGCACGGTCCGAACTGATAATTGCGCCGCGCGACCGTCGCGCGACAATATTATGTACGCGTCGACCCGATGAAATCGGACCCGGTTGTTCTGCCGGCCGTGCTCCCGTCGCGCATACAACGCGTGAAGCCTCTGCGCGGATATTGCGGACGACGACGCGAACGACAGACAGAGCGAGAGAGACGGGCTGAGAGACAGGGAGAGAGACAGGGAGAGAGAGAGAGAGAGAGAAAGAGAGAGAGAGAGAAAAACGATCGTCCCGTATCACGTGTTGCGGTTTCGCGACGCAACGCGAAAATCCCCGTCGTTTCCCTTTGTCGCCCGCCCGTCGGCTCGTATTAGGTTTTAGCGTTTACACCGCTTGACCTCCGCGTTACCGTTTCCGGAACGCGACATCGGCACGGGCATACGCGCGCCCCGGGGAATCCCCTCGGCGGGGCCCATTGCCCGGGGGGGGGAAAACGCGAATTTCCGCCGCGGAAAAATCGACCGTAAACTGTTAAACGGCCCGTGACGCGCACACTGACACGCCGTCGCGTATTTATTGTATTTTCGAAATCGACCGGCACGGCGAACGCGCGAACGTTCCCACCGCAACACTCGTATGGCGGTTTATACGAAACCTGAACCTAGCCCGCCGCCTCCCACCTTCCCCCGCCCCGCAGAGAAAACCCTACGTCAAATTCCGGTGGAATGTACCGAGGGGGGGGGGGGGGAGGGAGGGAAAAGAGCATTAATTCACCGAAATTTTAAATATACTATCGATTATAAGTTGACTATAAGTCGTGAAAATTAAAAAAAATATTTGAAAATACCGGAGTATGTAAAAAATATATTTCTTTTGAAAAATAATGTCTTTTTCAACTGTGTGAAAATTACGCGAGTAATAAAAGTATTTTCAAAAAAGTCGAAACTTTTCAAAACAACGAGTTGTCGCAGTGTATGCTCTTTCATTCTTGATGGGATTTTTTATACATTAAATACAATATTTTTATGTTACTTACCAGTGCATGTATAGTGTAGAGTAAAATGCATTTTTATTACCGGAATTTTCATGATTTCGTGTCGTTTGGTCCGAGCGGACCAATTCATTCGGTCTGTCCGTCACCAAAGTCACTAAAGTGTTAAAGCGTTCCGGTGTTACGATAAAAAATAATAGTGCGATATCAATTTTTTTTTTTCCCTTAATAATCAATTATCGTGTTTAAAACGTCGAAATTGTCGTTGTTTTTTTCCCTTGGTCTTGTTTCCCGGGATTGCTAAACTCCCGTGCCTGTACACGGGCCGCATAAATTAACAGGATACTTTTACGAGGTCGACACTGTCGGCACGGCGTCACGGGACGGTGTTGCGCAGTAACGATACACGGATAATTGGAGTTCTCGTTTCTAATTTTCCGTTTCCAAACGGCATTTTATCCGCGGACGTTTGTACGACACGTTATTATTATTATTACACGGGAGGCACACTCGTATTATTTTCAAAGCCGTTTTAACGACGTAATACGCACTTGTCCCAATCGAAATATTTCGAACGGATACAACAATGCAACAATGTCCGCCGATCGGATCCGTATCTTCTCTCTCTCTCTCTCTCTCTCTCTATCTTATTGAAAACGGTCACTGCAATTATAATATTGTGACTGCCTATACGCGCACAGATAACGATCGTCTCGGTTGTAACGATATTAGAAAGCAATGCGATATTCTCCCGTGCCTATACGATTTGTCGTAATTAACCCGACTACGGACACGTGTTTTACATCGTGTCCTGCAATCGCACGCGCATGCGTTTACGATCGGAAATTAGATTTCGTTTGATCGACTATAAATTTTACTTGTTTATGTTATGTATATTTATATAGATGCACGCACGCATGGATGAAAAATGTATCGCATTAGGCACTTGTATACTTTCACGGGATATCGAATCGTAAACTCGTTGAATTACCAATCTTTTTATCCGTATTATAAATCTATCCGTTGTGTCATTAGTGGCGATATAGAAAAAGACGGGGAGAAAAAATAATAATAATGATAAACGAAACCTAACCCGGCCGCCGATTGCCTTAATATGTTTTTTTTTTTTTTTATTCTTTTACGTTTTCGGCACCTTCAGTTGTTGATAGTGTACACCCAGTGTCAAATTATTATTATTATTATTCGAGAGAGAGGTCGGCCCCTTTTTGGTAGCAGCAACAACCTATCAATAACCCGGCGACGATGATCGACAGCTGCTGCGGCGGCGGCGGCTGTGATGCGATGTGATCTATAAGGTTACGAAGTGAAAGTACCCATACCGCGTAAGACGACGTGACGGGTATCTGCAGTATCGTCGTAGTAGTAGTGGCGGTAGTAGTAGTAGTAGTAGTAGTAATAGTAGTGGCGGCAGTAGTGACGGTGGCAGCGGTCGTATTATAATTGTGTACAGACCGTACGGAGAGAAGAGAACGAAAACCGCACGGTCGTCGGATGCCCCCCCTCGGACTACGGGATGTGGCTATTAAACAACGAGACTGCTCGCCTGGAGGCCGCCCTAGACGGGTGGTGAAAAAACCGAGTAATGCGTCGGTTATCCGGACGTCTTGTCGTATTTATAATACGTACCCGCGCGTTTCGGACGCGATAAATGCCACGGAAACACGACGGGTCCGCACGCGGCCGACGAGAATTCCGTAGAAATCTGTTTGCGGGATCGGTTCGAGCTCGTAACGATATCGTATTGGTCGTATTGGCCGTACGATGGCGACGACGCGCGGCCCCGGTTCAGACGCCCCGACCGGGACCGGCGTCCAACGGTCCTGCGAATAATGCCGCGACACGGCTTTTGACGAAACAATGCCGCGCGCGGAAACGGCCGGAATATGGCGGAACGGCGAAAACGCAAAAGACGATTTTTCGCATTTATGCGCTTGTTACTTGTTCGTGGCCGAGCGACGCGCGACGGACGCAATAAACACAAGACGGGGCCGTCATTACCGTAACCGGCCAAAAACTGTTGAACGCGAATGTCACGGGAACAAACGTGTTTTGCGATAACCGACTTGAAACCGATATCCACCGTCGGGACCGTCGGCCCGCGTTCGTTCGAAACCAACAGAAACCGCCGGAAACCGGTTCTAATAACGAAAGTTCCGCCGTCGGCGAAGGATCTGCCGTGGTCCTTATCCGCGAAACCCCCGGAAAACTACCCGTCCCGCGACGCGACCCGGTCCGGATTACGGTCAGTTATCGCTGATTACCGCGGTCCCGAATCGCCGGGCCGTTGTCAAGTAAATGCTGAGCGTAGGCGTGCGCAAACGACGCGGCTCGAGTCCGTCCGAGAAAAAACGCGCGTTCCGTTCGCGCCGCGCGACGCGACGTCCCTCCGAACGCGTTGTTCGTCGAACGCAACGCGGCTTTTAATAAATTCAAAAAAAAAAAAAAAGAAATTGCGCGCGGACGTATTCCCGCGCCCCGTATTTTCGAAATGGATTTTCTACGCGGATAACCGTACACCGCGATCGATTTCGACAAACGCTAAATTGTAGTTTCGTGTCGAATCCGATCGTTGTATTACAATAACGATGTATAATCGGGTTGTTGAATCGTGCAAACCGATACCCGTTTTTCGACGCCGTTTAAAAACCAGTTATGATTCCAAACCATTCATTCGCGAATTAATAAATTAAAATCTGTATTAAAAAAACAAAAAAAAAAAAACGAGTGTTTTTTTTTTTTTTTTTTATTAATTTAAGACATCGATTAGTGTAATATTATGATTTCTGCGTTATTAAATTTACTATCATGAGCCGTTATAAATCACGCAGTCCGGATCGGCAACATAATTATACGTATACACTTATGTACACGGTGTTTCAATCGAAAACGATTTGTTTATTTCCGATGGTATTTTTTAATTCGATAACATATTCACGTTCGCGTCGGCCCGCGCAAATCGAAACGATCGTAAACGGGCATAGCGAACTAAAACGAATCGCGTCCGATTCAAACAATTCGTTAAACAATTCAATTGCACTCGATTCGCGCGTTAGCCGATACGTGGGTACGCACGATACGATGGTGATTTTTTTTTTTTTTCATCATCGGATTAGCCGCTCGTTAAACTTTTGAACGTTTTACAGTCGGGCGCGCGCGGGATTAGTACAACACTGTTTTGGAGTCTGCCGTCTCTCGTTGTTGTTGTTTGTTTTTTTTTTTTTTTGTTTTACCGTGGGCTTGTGATCATTATCAACCGGGGTATCAGTCGGCTCTCGTTTCGTCCAGTTTTCGCGGCGCCGCGAGAAATCGGATACACGTTTTGTGCGCCGTCCCGGACGAAAGACCCGGGAGGCCGGGCACGCGCAGCACGATAACCCTGCCCAGCTGTACGGTTGTCTCGCGGGTATTTGCGTCCGCAATAATAATGACAACACTAATTTCCCGCGTTGTCGGCCGCACAAGCTACGGCCCGCCACGCGTAACGATCATGACTCACGCGCGTCTTGGATTTACGCGCCGACCCGTATCTCCGTATGAGCGCGGAACACGCCGCCGTGGATACAGCGGCGCGAAAACGGCCGTACAGAAACATTTCGTTAATCGACTGCTACTATCTTGGGAAGTTCAAATTATAGCCCGCGCACGAAAAAAAAAAATAAAACTCCGTTGATTCAACAAACTTAATGACGCTCATAATTTAAAGACGGCATTTCGGGTCACAGTCGAATAATAATAATAATAATAATAATAATAAAAAAAAAAATAATAAAACCCGTCGATCTAATTTTTCTCGGGCGCCTACCCCGCACCTACGTAATAATAATTTCGGCACTTAACGATTTAGTCCGATTCAACGTACAGAGACTACGAATTAATTTTGTTTCTGTGTATTAAAAAAAAAGAAAAAAAAAAAAAAAACGAATGCGCAAACTACACACATAATTAAAAAATAATAATAACAGTAAAGATTGGAGTCGATAGTTAAAAACCCCGAAAGGCACGTATTTAATACTAACGCCGTGCGTGTGCGAAATGTCATTCCCCCCCCCCTGGCTAGTGGCTGGGGGGGGTCGCGGGGGTATCCGAACGAACGTGATGAAAATACGAAGTGCTCGCGCGCGTACAACCAAACCTATCGTGGCGGCACTTCTTCGAGATCTGATATTTTTCCAACGACTCGACATCGGATTTTTAAATTTAAATTTCTATCGGTGCTCAACGAGCGCTGCTCATGCTTTTTGAATTTCGGACTTTCGCCCGTCGAAATACTGTTTCTCTGGTTTAATCATGATTATTGTAATTTTTCCCCCGAGAAATTAATAATCTAAATGTGATTTCTGTACGATGTTTTCTATATACTTTACGAATAAATTATTTTTTTTTTTTTGCAAGACGAAATATTATGAAAGTCGACTTTTTTTAGAAAACGAGGTAGCAATATACCGTCCCGACTCAGGTGTTCTATTTCGGTTAACGTTATACTACAGTCTGACAGGTTTTATTATTACGTTTTCGTTTCGAATTAAACTTTCGTATTTTTCAAAACGTCACGTCCTTTGGTTACATTAGAAAAAAAAAAATAAAAATAATAATAATAAAAAATAATGATAATCATAAGATACGGGGGTTACGTTTATACGGAAAACGGAAACTGCTGGGCGATATTAATAACGTCGTATTATGCAGCGGGTTGCGTTTAATAATACTACGTATCGGCACTGGCGCGTTACTCGAATGGATTGTATTGGTACGCAGGTAGTAAAAGTAAGCGTTTTTTCTTTTTCTTTTTTTTTATTATTATTATTATTATTCTTTTTTTCATTTTTTTTTTTTTTTTCGGCGAAGCCAATGGTTTCGTTACTATAAATAACGCAGAAATGATATGTACGAATCTCGATGTAACGCGGAAGTCGTACACATTCAAATATATAGTGCAGCGTATTTTACGGACAAAAAAAAAAAAAAAATCGCAACGTCCACCCGTACGTATTTACATTTTACTGCAACAGCACCGCACACGGCAATAGACAGTCACGCGCGTTTAGTCCGATTATTTGCGTTAGCACACACGGATAACGAAATCCGGCGGCACCGAGGCACCGTGCGTTTCTATACGCCGGCTCGAAAATAATTAACGCGTCGATCGCGTTACCGTATTCGAATCGCGCGCAATGGCCTCGAAACGTTCTCGAAAAATCTCGAAAAAATTACCCGAACTGTTTGCGCGCTGTACAGTCGAGTCGACGGATCGCATGCGTTACACGCACGTGATATGACGTTCGATTTCCGAACGTTGGGCGCGTTCGACATCGATTCGCCGGCCTTTCACGGCCATCGAAATCGCCGATGTCCGAGCCGACGGGATTGCTCGCACGACATTTCGGGCGTGCGGCGCGAACGAACCCAAAACAACACATTTGTTGGCGATGTCGGACACCGTGTTCTCGACTAGCTGTTCCGTACGGTTGTCCGATTGTCGCCGGACGATGACGCACTCTCGACGATCGAGATCACTGCGCGCGCGGCTGTGCGGAAATCCGAATCGGACTCGCGACGCGGAGCGGCTCCGTGCGAACGACCAAAGAGACTCTCCGAACCAAACTCCACCCCCCCCCCCCCCCACCACCCAACGGCAACGGCTCAGAGCGGAATCGCGAGTCCGAACGACTCGTCCAGCCGAACGTTTACCGCACGGCCGGAACCCACTGCGGATACTCCGGGATACTCCGTTTTACCGATTAAATAAAAATTTTTAAAAAAAATGCGCGTTTACCCGTATTATACTTGTATGCATACAAGACCGAATGAATTACTACAAACACAAACACTTCGATGTTAATGACTTTTTACACTGCAGATATGTTTGAACAATGAATATACATTTTGCTATGGAAAAACTTAATTAATTAGTTTAATACGTAGTTTTTTTTTTTTTAATTTATCAGAAACGTATATGCCTCGGCCGTTACACGTGGAAAAAACGAAACGTATTTGATGAGTATTGAAAACGCAGTCCGTGCCTATTTGCACATTCGAATTTAAAAGTGTCGTTTTGCAATCCCGTTATAAAACTATATTACGGGTATACAATATTACGTATGGATTTGTATAAAAATCCGCTTTTGCACAACAGGTATATCTGTCCGTGTACCCGTATAATATATTCTCGCATGACAATTGACTTTTGGATTGAAATAAAAAACAATTATTTATCGAATGTCCCGTATAAATAATAATAATAATAAAAATCCCGGTTTTCTCTCGGTCTTGGAGGTGAAATCGGCGCAGGGGACTGTTTTTTAAATTTATAGCCGTCTCCGTATTAACAACAGATCCCGGGTAGTGCGGCAGAGAGGAAAAGAAAGGAAAAGAAAAAAAAAAGCAGAAGAAGCTATAGGCATACGGACGGTGAAACGGAACGAGACAGAAAATGGGGAAATAGTACCCCGATTTAGAAGCTCCTATTTTTACATGCATTGTATGTAAATTATCGATCAATGTCAAAGCGCCGTATACGCGGCTTTCACAATCGCGGCCGTTGTATACCCGGTGGCGACCCGGAAAGGTATATGTATACGTATAGGTAGAGGTACCCAAATACCAAACATGCCCAAGATGGCAAGATATATAAGAAAATAAAAAAAAAAAATAGACGGAAAACAATTTTTTATTATTATTATTCCGCCTAGACGTCCCGACTTTCGATCGGACGACCGCTAGACACGGCGCGCGGTTGTCGCTATAAAGAGGAGGGGGGGGGGAGGGAGGAAAACCGCGAAAATCGTGACCCTTGTCTACGTCCGCGCTGCAGCAGATAATAATAATAATAATAATAATAATAATACGTACCCGTCTGACGTGACGTCGTATGCTCGGTAAACAAGACAACAAAAAAAAACAAAAAAAAAAAAAAAAAGAAGCGCTTAATGTTATCATCATTATTATTATTATTATTATTATCATTCATTCTTTTTCCGTTACGTTTACCCCGGTCATTTGTCGGTTTTATACCGAACAACGTTCGCTCGTTGATTCGAAACCGTGTGCACAAAACGTCTCGGATTGGCGACTGCGCGCGGGTTTATTTGATCGTATAGGTAGCTACTCAAATAACGTCGTGTTATTTACATTAGAGAACTATTTTTTTTTTCGAACAACACACGTGACTTTATAATATTCAATATGCACGACGTACGCACCGTTATATATTCTATAAACGAATAGCTCATGTAAAGCGTCACCGGGCAGAAATTCTGCGTCTTTTAGGGTGCTGCGTGAAAAAACTGGAGCGTTTGTATAACATTCTTAAAGTGATTTTCAAAAAAAAAAAAAAAAATCATTTTCAAGAAAAGTTGTTCGAATAAATCACTATCAGGCGACAAATCCGCATCTTTGCGGTATGACACGATAATTATTTCACAAGCAAAAAATTCGGTGGGCCCAGGGGATTGCGAAGTACATCCATCGCATCTGATGTTTGTATTGCTGCAGCAAATCACTTCCTCAGGTGTTTAAAATTTAAGTATAATTTATGCTTCGGAGAGTGATTGAACTCCCAACCTGCCACAGCCAATGTTCGTCGCCGAACTGTTACAAGTTCGAAACACTCTTCTACGCGGAAAAATGTCGAGCATATTCCGCGGAAGTTTTTGAAAACTTTAAAACGTCTTCGAGCAAAGAATATTGCATTAACGTAAGTTGTTCGGCCGTTAAAATTAATTTAGGAAAAAAAACGCCTTTACTTAACGATTACGAAATGCCCCCGCAAAAGTGCGTCTAAAAACGATAAGCCCGCGTACAAATGTGCGAGGTGTATGTATATATATATACGAGATTATGGTACCATGTTCAATACAATATATCTTTTTCCTTCGCACACATTTCACTATTACGCGTATTATTTAAACGAGCAAATTGCTGTTGTAACACACAATTCTGATCACACTGTTTGTATATTATTATATACCTGTACGTATAGGAACAGCCAATAGTGGGCATTGTATTCCGGGACAACAGTTGATGCAGTTACTGCACCGTGCGAGTGTGTGTGCGTGCGAGTGTGTGTGTGTGTGTGTGTGTGGTACGCTAAAATCGTACCTATAATACCGATGTAGGCCTCGGGGCAACAACAATAATATCGGAGAGAAACCACAAGTAGGTACCCGGTGTGTCGTCCGAGTTTGTGTGTAAAAACAAACCGTGAATAATGACCTAATTTAAACAAATCAGCGTGATATTCAATAATATCATAACAATGTATACCTGTACATACGTATAATAACCACGAGATGATATTATTTTCGTCCATCTCGACGGAAATATAATGTTATTACCTACATTTATACATATATATACGTTAGCGAAAAAAGACCGAGAAAAAAAAAAATCATCGCATGTATAAGGTAACAATATATTATTATTATTTATTATTAATATTGGCATGAAAATATACGGAACGTCGAAACGTTTTGTAATTAATTTGTTTTTTTTTTTTATTTATTTCTAAAATGTTGTACCTACATCCAATACGATACTCTACATTAATAAACGAGATGGCTATATGGGACTGCAATGAAACGAAAACGCGACAAAATATTTATTATATTATAGGACAAAAATCAGTGTTGGGAAAAAAAAAAAAACGGCCGATTACACTACTGATGGTCGTACCGTTGTTTTTACGAGAAAAGTTTATGATTCATTGTGATACATTTGTGTAGAATGATTTAATATGATAAACCGCCGCTAACGAAAAACGATTCTGAGTATAGTGTTAGTTAGTCAGTCGTATTTATTCCCCGGCTTTCGAGGTTACCCAGCGATCTACCGAAATCATACACAAATACATTTCTAGGTTAAAAATCACAAAGGAAAATGAAAACAAAAATAAATAACTTTTTCAACGCACCGACTCGATGAAAAACGATACAAGAAAGTTTCTATAAAATGTTTAATTGTAGCGAGATTTCTGACGTGAAAAAGTAATTAACAGGCACATACACACACAACACACGTATCAAAGTAAAACTAATTCATTCCTAGCTTTGACCGGAATATAAAAACGTATACATTCAATAATATTAATAATTAATAATTGTATGGTTAAAACTAATTACTGACTTCACGTACGGACACAAATCAAATAATACATTATAATTACAATTTTTATTATTACGAAAACAATTTTATCTCTACGAATAAAATCAGAATAGAAATTTAATAATAATATGCATTTTGGCTTTTAGAGAATACCTAAAGAACACATAAAGAAGTCATCACCGTTATTGACTTTTATAATTTTTATTTTTTTAATATTTCCGATTGGTAATACGTAACATTGTGTTACGGCTAATGTAGAAAATTGTTTAATGTCAAATTTTCGTTCACCGAATCCAATCGTGCTCCGTTAATTTCGATATTACAGTGAATTGACAGCCCTTGCCCAATCGTCACTATATTATGCGCTTGTACGTTTTTGTGTGATGTACAAATCGGAACCTAATAATTTTCAATACTATACACTTTTTAAAAACTGTACCTCTGTAATTTTATTCAACCGATTGCAAAATACTATCGGTTCACTTTGTGCGAACTACCGTACCTTTGTAAATAGCTCTGACCGCCGCACAGCCACGGTCCGGAGGCGACCAACAATTGATTTAAGTGTTTTCTATGTAAATATCGGTATTAATTGTACCCTGTCGCATATCAATAAGTTATTATTATTATTATTATTATTATTGTTATAATCGGTCTATAAAAATGGCGTCCATTTGTTTTTCTCGATATTTCAATTTTCAATTGAAACTCGAACGTGTGAATTATAACGGTTTAAAAACCTTTGTACCCCGCTTGACGATGTCGAAACATCGAGAGGAAACCGACGCACAGACAATGCGTTATTACGTTTTAAGACTTGTAAAGAGCCGTCAATGCGCTCTAATATTAACAGCACAAAATTGGACGGACTGAACGAAAATAATTGGACGTTATCCGATGTTCAACATTGGCCGTAACGTATAACTGTTACAATTAAAAAAAAAAAAAAAAAAAAAAAAAAATAAAAAATAAAAACAACAAACATTATTCTATTACCTGTACACAATTAACAATCGATTTTTGTTTTTGAGTTACTGTACTAAAACGAAGACAATAAGCGCGTCGTTATTTTGTTTGTACGAATACCGTTTCTAGTTCGTAAGTAAAACGACGTCATCAATACGGTTATTAACGAACGCGTTATCTGTGTGGACGGTGGATTATTATTACTGCACGCGCAGACAAATTGTTATCGGACTGTATTGTAAACTGTCGTATTGATAAGTTGCACCGACCACGGAATAAAACTGACAGTGACTATATTTACACGCACGCATATACGAACCCATATAGTATAAAACATCAATGGTACATCGTAAATCATTTGTAGTGCATCAACTTTTGGCATCGATTTGTAATTTTTTTTTTTTTTTTTCATGAAAATAAATCACCGGCACGAGAGCACGATATAGTAAAAGCACTGTGTACGTCGTTTTTGTAAAAACCGTTGATTTAAGCGCGCGTATTTTCTTATTCATAAAGTGTTGCGGTAGTATTGACATTTTTTATAAGGGTTCTTTGGTTTTGGTGTAGTAGGTACTTGCAATTTTCGAGTTTTTGAAAATCGAAAAAATAATTTTAACGCGAAAACTCCCGTTGACGAGACACGGTCTCCAAGCTACAAATTTTAGTATTTTATTTAGTATGTAAAATGGCTTTTTTTTTTTTAATTATGTTGTTTCCACAATTTTTTAAATAATTTTCTATACCGAAAATAACAAACTCTTAATAAATTGATTGAAAGTCGATTTTTTTGAGAATTTTTACTCTTGACTTAGTTCCCAAGATTGTCCAGAAAACGCCGTTTTCGCCGGTTTTTTTTTTTCAGAAAACCTTTGTTTTATTATTATTATTTTGGAAATTGGGATCGTACATTTTTTTAAGAATTATCTATAGTTTGCGGTTATTAAAACATATACTTTATATTATGTTACCGGTAAGATCAAGACTAACACATCATACTAACGCGAATCGAAAATATTATTGTACACCTACATGCCTGTTGTTATTATGAAATACGTTATATTAATTGAATTATCGGAAAACGGTTAAAAAAAAATGATATATAACAATATTGTTTGCGGAACATGATGTAGTACTTATAGTAAGTGCACGCGGAAAATAGTCTATATGAATTTATACGGGAACCGCGAGAGTTCAACGCTCGGGGGTATTCGGTTCGTTGTATAGGCAGGTATAGTAGGTACTTGTACATTATGTCAATGCTCAACAGTCGAATAGAACAACTTTTTTATGGCACAGAAAAAAAGAAAGAAAAGAGACCGCGATAAACACTTCTACTTCTCATAAGGAAAGAGGTTACCGTACACGACGTGTGCCTACAACAATAATAATATTATATTGTAGCGGCGGTCGGAGGGCATAAAATAATTGAAATGAACGCGGATTTATTCGCGAACGCAAGGGGAGAGGGGGCCCGGGTCGTTCGAACCCTCTCCGATGTATAAATTACCGAATATACGGTTGGCGTTTTTGAATTTACAAACGATAAATCGCAGAATTACAGCAACGCATTAAAGGTCAAAGATCGCAGATGTTCTTTTTGCATACCTTATCCTCTCTCGAAATTTTGTTTAGCGTTCGCACCCGTTGGTAGAACGTGAAAACTTAACGTGGCACGATTCTCTATATTTTTATAATGGGAAAACGTGGAATTTCAACGCAAAATTGGTTCTACGGTTTTTTTTTTTTTTCATTCAGTAAACCACACATAAATTGTTATTGTTTAAGTATCTGCGATTAAAAGAAAAACGTCGGACATACTTCACACGTGGGCGCAGCCACTGTTTTAGGTGAAAAGTCGGTAATGTAGGATACAGACGGGAATTTAATATACATGTGTAAGCAACGATAAACCATTGCTAACGAAAAAACGATTCTGAGCGCAGTTCAGTTGATAGTGTTGCTTTGCCAACAATATCATTATATGGTAAAACGATTACAACAATGTGCGTTTTCAATTCCATGATTGTTTAAAAAAGATTAAAATAATAAAAACGGTTGTCAATGACAACCTTATTTACAATCATTTTTAACCTAAAGAACCAGGTTTTTCTCATTATCTCGGATATTAATGAGAACTTCAAAAAATTACCTCTTTAAAATACCGCTCAGAGAACATTTTCTTTCAGAAAAGGTGCTATACTTGATAATCGTAGTATGCTTTTTGCTAGAAAAGTTTCTGTAATACTATAAAATCTATATTATATTACTTTATACCAGCGTTTCCGAATTTCTTTTATTCTACGCCTCCTTTGTAGGTTTTCGAAAATCTCACGCCTTCCATTAATTGAAAAAAAAAAGGTACGATTCTTTTTTTTTGGTATACTTGGTATAATTATACGATACGCGGATATCGGCCGGTATTAATTGTTCTTCTTTTCCCTCGTTTATATAAATGTAAAATAAAAATTATTTAATAAATACGAATTTTATCCCGGATTGCTTGTGCCTCCCCAGGTTGGGAAACACTGTTTTATTGTACACACGAGGTTTTGTTTTATTCGTTTAAAATGTTTTAATTTATAGTGACGGTAATATTGTTGTTAGTTATTATTCCACATAATCATCGTAAAAATTCAAAAACCGTAGGTGTACCGGATTATGTTTTTGCGGTGATAAATATTCGTAATCCCAATACGAAAATACTCTGTTAAAACTCGTTAAAAAAAAAACTGCTAAATATTTAAAACTCCGCTGTAAAATTTACGAAATCGCATTTAGCTATTTTAATGGTCGAGTCATATTTTTAATTTATTATTGCAAATAAAATACCCGTAGTATTTGAATTTGCCGTTTAAATAATAAAAATTGAACTCAACCTCGGCGACAAAATAATACTATCAACGAGAGGAGGGCAAAGAACACAAGGCAGGCGACTATTTCTGCAGTATTGTAGTAAACTTCCTCGGATATTGTCGTTCGTTCTGGTTTCAAGTGTACGCACACGTGCACCTCTCTAACCGACTTTCGAATTGGAATTTCAAATCGTAACGATCGACGAAAACGAGCTGTTCGTTTTACCGGATATTAGCCGTAGTTGAATAGGCTGCGAATCGGGTATTTTTTTTTTTATAACTTCGCTCGATTGTTTCTAAAAATAATCGCGACGAATCGACCGGACCGCGGTTGTATAACGCGAACGACGCGATAACGTCGAGGGAGGAAAATCGCGCCGGACGCGTTTCGGGCCGCGCGTGTAGGTCGCGGTTGTCGCGTGCCGGAGAAGCGGGAAAGTTCTGGGACGTCGGACGTGCGTACCGGAAGCGAAGACGAACCGCGGCGGCCCTCGGTTAACGGCGCGCCTAGGCCGTGGCGGCGTACCGGCCCGAAACCGGGCGTTCGTGTGACCGTCATTTGTCGTCGGGGGTTCGTTTTGCTTTCCGAACGCCCGGTCGGACGGCTCGCGCAAAGTGCCCGCGCGCGCCGGCCCGGGCCGCCGCGGTTCGGCCGACCGGGAAAACGTTTCTCGGGCGAAAGAGAACGACGCGCGCTCGGCTCGAACAAGACCGCGCCGGGTGTCCGGAAAAGTCGCGTTTGTCGCGGAAGAGCGCGCGCGACGTCATTCGGACGCCTCGACGGAAATGTTGCCGCGCCGCGCGGGCGAGCGGCCGACCCGCAGATCCGGCGGGACGCGGACCGCGTACGTCCCACCGGCCGTTTTCCGGCCCGGCCGGCCCTCCCGTTGTCGCGGCCGAACCGATAACCGAAACGGCGCGCGACAACTCGGCCGGCCGTCGACGGTTTACTGCGAATAGGAGGCGCGTGTCGCGGCGCTGTTATTCCGCCACGGCAACACCGGCGGCGGTAGCGCAACAAACGCGGGCGTGCGACGCGCGGTTTTTCGATTTGTTTTTTTTTTCCACGCTCGTCGCTCGTACAGAGTTTACGGCCGGGCTCGCGTAAGACGAAAGTTTTTGATTTCTGTTCCATTTTTTTTTTTTTTTTAACGTTCCCATTTGATTCGCTATCGTTTTCTTCTCCCGAAGGCCGTACGCCGCGCGCGCACGCCCGCATACGTACGCGATGCGTGGTTTTTTTTTATATTTTTTTTTTTTCTTTACGTAACAGCGTTTTCTCGCGCGCGCGCGCGCGAGGCACAATGAACTTTCCACGACAATGGCGTTATTGTGTTTTGTCGCGGCCTTACCAATACACAATGTCATTACGCCGTACACCCGTGTAAAATAATAATAATAATAATAATAATACACGCTCATCGCGTGGATCGCGCGCAGAAGCGAGGAGGATTCACTTTCTTTTTCGTAGTTTTTTTTTTTTTTTTTTCCTAACAATATAATAATCGGGCGGTCGTTACACGAGTGACCGGCGATAATGGACCGAACAATAATTATTATTATTATTACCTATCGGTAGCCGCGCCGCCGCAGCCGCACGTGTTCCGCGTGGCCTCAGAGAAAACGCGCGCGTTCGGTACGGGCAACTCGCGGCCCCGTCGGTACCCGGTCGCTCTAATCGGCTTCCGTCGACGACAACAGACACCGGGAGCGTTTTTTTTTTTCTCGGTGATTAACCCGGTTATTATTTATTTCAATATACGAAACAGGCTAGCGTCCGATATAAATACATGTGTGTGTGCATAGGTACAAATGCAAAATAGGTAATAAGCGAAACGAAAATTCAAAACAAACACAATAATCGTTAACAGATAGAAAAAAAAAAAAGTGAAAGAGGTGCGGTCCTTGTTGGTCAACGGCTCGTTCTAAAGGCGATTCGTGGACGAACTGCGGGGAACTGTAAATTGGGCGCCGTTGTGGGTAGGACGAGAAGATATGGTCACGGTGTTTTATTCATTACCAGAGACGTGTTTACAGGATTTTAACCGAACATTACAATACGACCGTGTTTTTTTGTTCGGTCACGATGTTTCAATATACTTACTTGTTTATACATTAAATTGCATTGCTATAGTTACACTTTAAACGTAACTATAGTTAAAATCTCGTCGATCACGTTACTGATGAATTAGTTGTAAAATAATAAACTAATAAGAACTGTATGGACAACATTGTGCAGCTACTATTCTAATATGTATGTACTTTCGTATAACATACAGTAAAAACTTCAATTTACGCTCGTACGATAGTAACGGTATTTTCGCGTCTATAATCTGGCTGCCCTGGAGTGCTTATGTTTTCACGTTAGTGTTATGTATAATGCATATAAATATATTATTATAGATTGCTGTTAAACGAAATTTCACATTTTATATAGGTACCTAGATAATTGTGGTACTTATGTAAAGAAAAATACAAACTCGTATAATATTTTACAATTTGTTTAACTAGACACTTGGTTTTTCGTCATTGGCCACGTTATAGCGTTATAGGTAAGTACTGTAAAAAAAAAAAAAAAAGCACCATTATCGATTGCTCCAAGGCAAAAGGTCCCAAGTGACGTTGTTTTAAGTTTTTAGGAGAGCGTAAAAACGTTTATTTTACATTTAAAATGTCGATTAGTTTTTTGAAATTCTCTTCGGGGAGTAATCATTTATTTTACGTAGATTTTTTTTCGTCTTTAAAGCCGAGTTTGACGGTTTGCATGATGTGATAACGTCGCTTAGTGTCCCTAATTGTTTATAAAACTGGCGCACAGTCTCAAAAAATGTTACATACACCGGCGATTCGGAGCCAACAATGTATGCGACGCACCGTTTATGTCCTGAATATAAAAACCCAATGTTGTGCGTTACAAAACTGTCAAACTGAAGTGCCAGTTTTTCCAGACGGTGCACTCGAGTCCCCCCCTGCACGAACGTCCATTAATAATTACGAATCGCCGCTTAGACCCTAAGTGGCGCTCGGTCCATTTTGCCCGGGTCTTCGAGCGTGTTTCTCAGGCAGCGATTTTTAATAAGCTCACATTATTTCTCCTAGATTATTGTGTTTTGTTCATTATATCATCCGAACGCCATCGGACCGTTTTAGGTTTCTAAACACAAGTTCAGATACCCGCTGTGTCCGCCCGTCCGTACATGGTCCAATTACGGTAATATCACTAATATTTTTGTTAAGAAATAATACTAGCGAATTGTATACAGTCCGAAATTATAATTTTATTCGCGTATTGTTTTCTACACAATGCACGCACGCAGTAGAATATAAAAAAAAATAAAGTAATAATAAAAGGATATTTTTTTTTTTTTTAAAAAAATTGTATAATTATAACGAACCGATTGTTTAACCTTTTTGAATTTTTTTTTTTTTTTTTTTACATTCAATTCTTCGGTTATATTTTACAACGTTTTTGCGCACTGTTTACGGACGCGATAAATATTTTATTTCGGTCGATTTATCGCGATAATCCGTGTTCACAGACTCTCGAATATAACACGAATTAATATTGTAATTTTCATAACTTCTAGGATTTTTATAATACGACGGTACTCGTAATTATTCCCTGCGAGATAGTCTGTATGTACGTATACTTATATATAATATTAGGTACCATAAATTATAACCACCATAAAAATATACCTCTCACATGCGTGTACTTATAATTATAATAATAATAATCGCTATAGTTATAAACCTCTAAGATCAAACATTATTATGCTGTACCGTGACTGTTTTGATTTATGCGGTTTTTTTGTAATTTTTTTTTTTTTTGTTTTGAAACGTAATTTTATGTAGGTATACGGTGATTATCTCGATTTTCATACATTGTAAATTGATTTTTTTTTTTTTTTTGTTTGGGGGGAGGGTATTTTCGAGGTTGAGGTCTGCATAACTATGGACAAAAATATCATGTTTTAAAAACGGTTTTTCGGTACCGTCGTCGGTGTTCAAATAATTTTATATTTATAAATAGTCGGGACGAAAGCGAACGAGAAGAAGAAGTATATGCGTCAGAGTTGTGTGGATCGAAAACTTTTCGATCATTTTTTTTTTTTTCATTTTTACTCGGTATATATGTATACGACCTAACCCCGAAAAATGTTTTCTAAGAAAAAGCACATTCTCTTTAATAACTTCTCCACTTTGCAACAATTTAAAATAAACAATAAATAGCGTCAAGTTTTATAATATTTTATTAATAGTAAAACTTTTCATAAAACCGTTGTTCAACTCTTACATTATTATAATGTAGTTGTTATCATAATAATCAATAAAGCGATAACTTCCATCGTATTACCTAGTAATAACATTATATTTTTCAATTCGAACAACTTAATTTATTAAAATATATAGGACCGCGTCTATTGCGCAATACACTTTTATTATGTAAAATGGTCCCAAAACTTGAGACTACCCGCTATGTACTGCAGGTATAAGACTCATTTTTTTTTTTTTTTTTTTTAATTTACCAATTTAATTTTTGATTAAAAACATTACTCATAAACACACCACGGGTTAATTATTATTGGTTAACCTCGAGCGGAATATCGAATATTATTACAATTTACAGTGTTGTCTCGTAAATCGTTATATTAAAACGGAAAACACATTTTGCGTGTAAACTATGCATTTTTTTCGTAATTTAAGATAATGATTTTTTCTACATTATTTGGTAAATAATATTATAGTAGTAGCCCCGTTAGGCACAGTAATGTTACCCGTGACAACCAAATTAATGTAAATAAAGTTTAAAAAATTATATAGGTTGCCTGTGACAACCGTGAAATTCGTTTTTTTTTTCTATCTAATCCGTGTAATCAAAGGAGACCAGAAATAAAGAACAAAAAAAAAATAAATAAATAATAATAATAATAATTCATTTTTCGTTTTCAAAGTCCAAAATTATTCAAGCGTAAGTACCCATGTAGAAATTGAAATTTAAAAATCGTAAATTCAATCCTCTCCCCTCCATTTCCCATCTGTTCACCAATGTATTTAAAATTGCACATCTCTGGCTGCCATTATATTGAGTAGATTTGCTGGCACGCATACATGTTTTATTATTTTTTTTTTTTAGATCTCTAGAATCATATTAATTTTAAAAAGAGTTTTTTTATTTATCAAACAGCAAAATCATTTTATAAAACTGATCATATTTTATTAGAGTAAATATATATATAAAAAAAAATACATACACAGGATGTATACACATGTACATACACAGTTTACTTACTTTGAAATATGTATATTGGAGCTTAGACTTTGTATGTTTATTATACTACCTATGTTACTTACACTAAAAAGGGAGTGTCAATATGTCATACTTGTAAATCCATTTAAATCTCTATGCATACATTTTTTATGACAAATATAATATTATTATTATTAAAAACAACATCAGCTTGTAAAAGACGAGAAATCAAGTATAATTATTTAGTGTCCGAACGAATCGTAGTAATAAACCGTTTAAATGTTTGTTGACCATATCGTGCGATGCATTTCGATAAACGTGTTTCGGTTTAAATCGTTAAGATCGCGCGACCGAAATATACCCACTGAACGAACAGGTTTTCAACCGCAATAATTTTCATAATATGCTGCGCTTGATAAATCTTCTGGACGTCTTTTGAATATTTTTAAGTTGATAGCGATTAAGACGTTTTCATCGGGTATCCGTGAGCTTACGTGTCACATATTTATCGGAGATTTGTATAGACCTGGTCATTATTAAGAAACGATATATACATATAAAACAAAAATAATAATAATATATACCAGGTTAGTGGTAGGCATCTTAGGAACCCCTAGTATTCGAATGTTTTAATAACAAAAATATCATTAGCGGTTATTAGTATAGGTCAAATATTTGAACGAATAATTCGAGTGTTCATTTTTGTGATTGGGTTATTGAGAAGATGCGTTACACGGCGTAATTTAGTTTTTATACTATACAACAACAAAAAACCATTTTAAACGAAAAAACGATTCTGAGCCGTGTTTTGTTGTCGAAGGAACCCATAGAACTCGACAATAATCAAACAACAAGAAAAAAATACCTGTATAGGAGGATGAACTGTTGAAAAGTTCAACAAATTGGAAAAAGATAGGAACACTTGCGTTGTTTTTATATAAAAATATATATATATATAAAAACAATTTAGAGGGAAAAGTATTAAGAATTTCGAAAGTTCTTTCAAATAAAATACCGGCACGCGAAAAATCCGCATCATTTAATTTAATATGATTGAGCATTTTTACTAGCCGTAAATGTGTTCCGAGAAAAAAAAAAATCATTCGAAAACTAATAGCTTCTTCGTCGTTGGACTCAGAATCGAATAGATAGGTAATTATTTTAAAAATGTCAACACGATTCGTTTTTATCCGAATCGCAATAATATATATATATATCTATAACTTTACATCATTCAATGAACTAATAATATTATCTATACACAGAGGTTTTTTTTCTTTTTAACTCCAGACGAAAGACATTTAGTTAATTACACCGTGATTCGTGTGGTTACAGTTATACTGCACAGTTATCTATTCAATTAAAACAATCATAAAAAAAAAAAAAATAATAATAATACTTCTGCCTACATAATATTATAGTATACATTATACACAGGTATATTATGTTTGTCCGAAATATAATTTACACTTCACAAAAAAAAAAAAAATAAAAATACGTACACCTAATGTATATAAAATTAACTTAAAACTACGATCACACAAATTCGTCAGTCCTATACTCCAATACTTTTCATAATATTAAATATTATAAAAAGTCAAAAAATTAACTATAATATATTATATTGTTTCGTATCTCGTTTTGGTTTTAATCGTGTTTGACGTTTTATCATTTATATACATTTTATAGACTCGTACAGTCTATTTATCTATCAGTGTCAATTCGACACACGACTCCATTTATCTCTCGTTTTCCGTTTCGAACGTAATATTTTTTTTTTCCGCGCACTCACGAAGCACACGGTCATTCTGGTTACGGGTATACTGCTGACGGTAACCGGTAATTTCATCCGAACGCGTATCCGTATGTGTACCTAGTATAATATGTGTTAGAGAGCGTGCGAGTGTGCACAACGTTCCGGCTCCCGGAGGGTTCGGTCGTTAAAATTCCACAAATCACACCCTGCGGCCCTGTGCTTTATTTGTGATCATCATTCTTTATTTTTATTTTTATTTTTTTTTTTTATTAAATTAATTCCAGTTAACGAGGATTCGGGGTAGGAGCATACGTCATGACCCGCATTTGTAGAGGTATTTATATTCGAACTCCATTATTTCGGCGCGCCTCGTGATCGTGAACAACAGTAACATCACTATCCGACTGTGTACAGGCGAAGCAGTAACTAGAAAATAATTTCGGAGGAGGGGTGGGGAGTTGGGATTGTGCACTGAAAATCTGTGGCGTTCTAATTTTATTGACTGAAGTAATATTATATTTCCCCACGGCGTATAACACGAACGATTTTCGGGGGAGCGGGGTTTTTATACCCCCATAACTGTACAGCCACGTGTAGGCACCTATATAGCTTCGCGGTGACACCTTTAAGCACCGTGACATTATTTCTGTGGGCAGGAGTACATATCCGATCAAACCTAACCCTACATAACATAAACTCTAACCGGACCTGTATAATTTACCAAACTTATGGATGAAATTTTTAACGAGTAAAATAATCGATTTAGTTTTTGATGAAATTTGGTGTTTTTTTTTTATTAATTGTTAAGCGGACGCTATACCCGAATGACGTGCTGTTTCAGTCCAACTGACGGGCGATATAACGAAATCTACCTCACGTAGACCACGAAAAACTCACTTGATTTTGGTTTTAGAGGAAAGTACTTATTATTGCGAAATTAAACGAAGACGATATCACGGAAGGCAAGACGATGCGTTTATTATTTATTTTTTTTTTAATATTGCAGTCATTCAATAATAGCGAATTAGTCTTTGTTTCTAAAAGACGTATTGAAGTTATATCCAAGATAATAATTAGAATACTAGGAAAAACAAATAGTCATACCTTCCAGCATATCGTCCTAATTTAATTTTATAACAACTGATTTTACTCTAAAACAAAAATTAAGTGAGTTTTATGCGGTCTGCGTAATGTAGATTTTTCTATATTGGCCGTTAGTTGGATTGAGGCAGCGCATGTGGGTATGGCGTCCTCTTAAATAGGTACCTAGACGTCTCGATGTGTGTTATGAACGCAAAATAAAGGAGTTTTTTTTTTTTTAAACTCTTTACTTCGGTATATGATATATTTAATATTGGTTTTGGAAAATATTTTATAGAAATTATAATTTTATCATCATGCACAGCGTATACATTACGCGGTTAAATAAAAATATTGAACATTTTAGTAACGTTAAATTCTTTAAATATATTCACTACGCGCCTGTTTGATACATTTTGAGTTTTTAATATGGTATAACACTATTGCGTTCTTAAAAGCATATATCGATATTTTGATTACAACGAGAACAGTATTTGTATGTGGTTCGTAAAATGCCAAAGTTTTCTTTTACCGTTCGTGATTTCGCTCATTTTAAATGCTCACGGAAAATAATAATTGTACAATAATATAACAAAATATTATTATTAATATCTCTTTCAACGTCGTTCTTGCACACGCATAAATCAGTAACGCCGTGGTAAAAAACGAAACGTAAAAAAATTTACTTTTAACAATTTCGCGTTCGTCGCGTTATTATGATAATTTCGCTCGGCGGTGCTGCTGAACGTTGTAATTATTATTGAATTAACATATTAACACGTATGTATTACGCACAGCTGTGGACGGACCTCGCGCGAGCTGAACGACACACCGTGCCGCGCAGTTTGACGAATCGTACGGGGTAGTTCTAAAACGAATACGAAAACTATAGGCAAATCGGGTGTTCAGCAGCGGACGGTGCGGCACACGGAAACGTTTATTGTCGTTGTAAATTGTCGCGGATCGCAAAAGCGAAATTAACAATTGCGGTTCGTCTGCGAATTAATATCCTCGCCGTCGCACAATTACCGGCGATATCGTTTTACGCGCGGCGGGCCAGGTTAACTTCCGGACATCCTGACGGGCCGCATAGCGAATATTTATCGCGCGGCGGAAAATCGGTCGCGCTGGACGAAAGTCCGTCGTTTTATCGATTTTTCAAACACCGGCCGCAACGGCAACGTGTACAATGCGATATTGCAGTTCGATCGGCACGCACGCGGTGTCAAAGTCGGCGACTGTACATATTTCATACGGATGTGTGTATAGCAAAACAGCGACAGCGTTTAAACGTGTTCTCGTAGATCCGCCGTGACGATTATAATTTATGTACAATAATAATAATACGGGAAATTAATTTAATGCTGTACGGTGGATTTCCGTGCGAAAAAAAAAAAAAAAAATGATACGAGTGTAGACAGCAGACGACAGGCGGAGAGGTCGAGAGACACCGTGCGACATCCGGCTCGCGAGCGCGTCGTCGCAGTCGCAGTCGTCCGCGTTAATTAAAATCGTTATACATTTTTCATTATTTTTCTTTTTTTTTATCTAATACATATATATATTATTTAATTATTTTCGTACCTACGCACCGTGCGCGTATTAAATACCGAGCGGATAATGCGACGCGGCGCGTCGACGAAATGTGGAACGTTAATTTTCCCATCTCTCTGCGCGCGCAGTATATAATATTATGTGTATAGACGCTTAAGACAAGTGTCTGCGTTACACCTGGTAATTATTATTGTAATTATTATAATATACTAGAAACAAAAAAAAAAAAAAAAAAAAAAAAATGATAATAATTATAAAAACGAAACAAAAAGCGAGCAAAAAGTTGTTTGGGAATTATTAGAGCCAAACGCGGTTATTAAAACGTTTGCTGGCACGGATATATAATGCGATGTACTTATCTTCTAATAAAAATATATGATATTTCTGCGCAGCAGACACCGCGTATGCCGGCGAGATTAGGTGAAAGTATATAATACACGGTCGTACAGGCTGTTCGGCGTTCACTTTAAAAAGCTCGCCAAAAAAAAAAAAAAACAACTAACAATCGCGTATGATTTTGTCAGTGCGATCGCATGTAGGAAGGTACGAAAAGAAATTTATGCAAATACTATTACACATACGGAAAACGTAATATTATTAGTAGCCCACAAACCGTATAACGAGATCACGTTTCAAAATTCGCATGCGCGAGAGTTGCGGTCCTAAAGGAGTGCCTTTTGTTACAGGAATAGAATAGCGATAAAAAAAATTACTATTAATATGCTCGAGAAACATAAATGAAACACCGAAGAGAAAATACCACTACACGTTCAAAACGCATAATATACGCAAAACTGAAATTGTACGTTTCGCATCTCTGGTGCATAAAACAAAACTGTACGGATCACTCGGTGTTTTTCGTCCGTATCCTATAATAACGAGCAAACGCTACGAAATCCGAACCCAGTTCACAAAATAATACGACACAAAAATTTTGATTTAAAAAAAAAAAATTTAAAACGATTCGGTCGGGTTTACAGCGTTTATATGCGAAATACAATTTATAATCTCGCTTCTGCGCGCGCTATAAAGAAAAGAAAAAAAACAGTTTTGCGTTTGCTTCGCCCGGCACAATCATCTGTCCGCCGCCAATTGCATTGCCGTCCGATCGTCCGATCGTCCGGGTATCGCCTCAAAGCGACAGAGTCCGGCAAATCCGTCGAGCGGTCGATACGCAATCCTACGGGTGCCGCCCGCGCTGACCACGCCGCAGCGACGTACATGGCCGGCGACACCGGCGGCGGTTTCGTCGGTTACGTTACGCTCGCACCGCGGCCGGCGCAACGCGTTGCGGATCGCGAACGGGCCGCGAGCTCTCGACCGGCCGTTCGGTTCGAGGCCTCGGTGTCCGCGTGCGTCCACATTTTATTGCTGCGATAACTGTCGCGGCCGCGCGCCGATACCCGTTGACAATCGCGGTCTCGATCCGTCGCAAATGGCAGCGGTTGAAACACACGCGTCTCCGACGCTCATCGTCACGCGTACACGCTGCGAGGTCTCCGCGGCGCCTCGAATTTCGACGACCGCCGCGCGGCCCGGGGCCGGGGGCGGGCCAGCGCGGTACGACGGTCGGACGGTCGGGTTTATCGCGGCACGCGTTCGCGACTGGCTCGGGCGACGAACGGCGGCCGCCGGTCCGTGTTTTCTGTATTTTTCCCGCGGAAGTTTCACGCGAACCCGTAATCATGTCGGCGTATCGCACGCGAACGCGCAACTCGAAAACCGAAACACGCCGCGATTACCGGCGGTGAGCCGATACGGCTTTTTCCCTCCCCACCCCCACCCACGGATATTCGTCCGAATCGTTCGACCGTTTTATCTCGACGATTTCGTCGATTGAAATCGACCGGCGATAAATCGGTCGAAAAGACGATTTGATTTTTTTTTTTTTTTTGGTTGTTTTCTCGACGCTTTTTTCGCGTTCCGAAGATATTGCGGACATTTTTTTTTTTTCGCCCGAAAATATCGAACCGGCCAACGATTTTGCCGCGGGTACACCGGGACGACCAAGAGTTTTATTAGTTTGGAAATTACGCGAGACCCGGGTACGTTGCAATATCGAACCGGCCAACGATTTTGCCGCGGGTACACCGGGACGACCAAGAGTTTTATTAGTTTGGAAATTACGCGAGACCCGGGTACGTTGCAATCTCCGCGTGTTCATCTGAAATGCATAAACGTATTCAAAAAAAAAAAAAAAAAAAAAATAAACATATTATACGCCGTACGTAGGCTACACGCGCGCGCGCGTAAAACATCGTGGGTACGATTGTTAATTATCCGAGATATCGCGACAACCGTCATGATGTGTTTATTATCGCTCATTAGTGCGCGTACACGGGTGTGGCAAAGCATACGATTTTTTTTTTTTGTAACGATTACGAATTGTAAAAAATAAAACGTCGAAAAGACGATCGTCGACATTATCGCCTTTATCGGTGGTTTTCTAGGCCACCGGGATTTGGGCGCGAGTTCGCGTTTTGCGTACACGGTGCGATTTCGATCGACTGCGCGCGGCCGTAATAGAAACTCGCGCGCGAACCGACCTAAAGCGCGGCGCAAACGTTTCGTTATTCGAACGATTTCCACAGACGTTCCCGTATCAATTTCTCATGCGCGCGCGATGATGTTGTTTTTTTTTTTCCCGTTATTAATTTTATCGGATATTCAAATCCGCGAGTATCTGTGTATACGTGTATATTTATATTATGTAATATGCGCGTATAATACAAGTATCGAAATAACAATAAAGAACAAAAAAAAAAAAAAAAAAAAAAAAAAAAAAAAAAAAAGCGCGCATACAGGATATACGTATATATACACACACATACATGCGATATACATTATAAAGGATGAAAAAAAAACGCGAAAAAAACAAAACAGATAAATTTCGGGGAACGCACGCACACACACACACACACACACGCACACGCACGCACGCACATACCGGATATATTCGTATCCCCTTTAAGTCTTCGCCGAATACTTTTTTTTTATTTTTTTTTTCGGTCGACCCCCGCGGGAAATTCGATTTACAAATCCCCGCACGGATAAACGTATATATATATATATATATATACGTGTGTATATAATATACGGCGATGTTTCATTCAATCTCCGCGGCTGCAACGCGACGGTAGGGTTCCGCGTGAGCGGTCCGGTCGGTTTGCGCGCGGCGGCGCAAAAACGTCGGGCCGTCGGGCGGCCCGACGTACGGTTCCGGGGCGGTGTTGAGCGGAAAACGTCGGTACCGTACCGCGGACGAGAGCCGGACGCGACAGCGGCGGGCCGGCGCTCGCCGCGGACCGCGATCCGTCGGCGCCGGAACCGCCGAAGCTGTTGTGATACGGCCCCGCTGGTGCGGAGCCGGCCGGGCACGGATCCGGGACAGTAGTTTCGTTTCGCGGCGCGCCGTAAAGAGACCGCCGGCCGAGTACGGGGCTGGGAGGGACGGGGGGGGGGGGGGGGCGAGGGGTTACTTGAAATCCGACCGCGCCCGAGGGGGTCGAAAAAGACACTTCGAATGCGAAATTCCACGCCTTCTGGGGGTTTTAATGTTTAGCGTACAACGGCCGTCCGCGCACCGTCGGACCGCCGGCGTGACCTGTGTTTTTTTTTTTTTTGTAAGTGTAAAAACGCAGGACCCGGTGAATTTCCGCCGGCGATGTCATTATCGAGTGTTTTACCATATTGTCAGCGGCGCACACTGGATTTTTCCACCGCCGGGGACGGGGCTAGAGTAAAAAATTAGAATAAAAATACACAATAATTGTGTAATAGGTACGACTATTATTTGTACGTGGTTATTGTTTTATTGGTTCGTAATATAAGTTTTTAATAAATTTGTATAGTTTTTCTTTTCTTGTAAAATTTAAACACGACTGCTGTGACAGGTGCTTAAGTCCCCTTTACCTCTCTGCAAGGTAATAAGCTACCAGTTGTTTTAGTCATTTTTCCATTTCCTCCCTCCCCTATTGTCGGGCATGAACAAATGTTTGCGATCAAAAATAAAAAATATAATACAATCTCATCGTTTTATGTTATAGTAATAGTATGGAATTTATTAACAGTGAGGTTTACAGTAAATATAGAACAAACGTAAAATGTAAAATGTATAATATTAAAAATCGCAGGAAAAAAAAAAAATATAAATAAAAACGGATCTTTAACGTGTCTTTAGCTTATGCATTTAGTGTAGGTATGGTATTTTTACTTAACATTATTCCGCTTGATGATATTTTTCTAGAATATTCACGACCCCGCAACGTACCTGTATAATATGTACGAGTAGGTGGGTATATAGGTACAAAGTATAAATATTAAATACCTATGAACGGTTATTATGATAATATTGTTTTATTAAAACGCATGAATAATGTATAATAAATATTGTTATTAATTTATAAACTATAATACGCGTTTATGTTAGTATCGGATCGTTTTATTTATTTTTTATTCGGGCCAAAAAAAAAAAATTATCGTCCACATATAAATGGGTGCGTTTTTTTTTTTTCAATCGTATTATTATATAGCCGGCCGATTTACAACGACCTGTTATTCAAACTGGTTTAAAATAAAACACCGCAGAATGATTAGGTACCTAATATACGTGTGTATACGAGATAAGCGTATCTATCTACCGGTAAAACAAATAATCGCATCGTTATTCGTGTATTATTGGACTTTTTATTTTATTCAGTTTTTGCGTCCAAACGCCCGCATATAATTATAATTAATTTTGCACGCGGTTTAAAACCGTTAAAGCGCACGTTTCGAAAAATACGTTAATCAGAATATTATTACCTGAATCCGATAAAACGACAGCGTAAAACTGTTTTGCACAAAATTTGTCTTGATTTTTTTACGACCAAACGTAAGCATCATTGCTCGTTGGCGTTTATTCGATCGCCGAAAGCGCGTACGAGCAGTGAGAATGGATAAAATAAAAACGAAAAAAACGTATAAACGCATTCCCCCCCCACCCTCTTAAACGAACCGGGTTTCCGATGCAGTTACAGACTAAATGTATGATATATAATTATACTTTATATAGAAATTAAAAGTCGCAGTCCCGAGATCGTTTAGCGATAAGTATATACTACTTATTATTAAACGCGTATTACCTATAGGTAGAGCGGCTGATTAAAAATAAAAATATGATTTCGATCAGACCGGTTGGCTATCCGCAATAACTGCAACAGTTGTCGGTTTCTCGCGTGCGAAAGTAAAAATAGGAAAGTAATACCGGAATAAAAAATCAATACAAAAATAAAAGTGTATATATATATATATTATAAATAATATATCTGTTTATATCACCCTAAATATTTTTGACATTTCGCGCGTAATGACAAATCCGATAAATTACCTACGGTTTTTTTTCTTATTTTTTTTTTTAGTTCGCCAACGTTTATGGTCTTGTTAATCTAGGTTAGACGCGGTCCGCGAGCGGACTGCCAGAAGAAGAAGAAGAAGAACACGGAGACGACGACGACGAAAAAGAAGAAGGCGTTTCGCAATTAGTATGAGCATTTCACTAAATAATAATAAAAACAACGCCGAGAGACGGAAAGATACTCTCGTTTTCGCGAACTCGGGCGCCTAATTATTGTCGATTAACTACTCTCCGTGGGTAAACCGTACAAGTAAATCAGGTTTTTGATTTTTACTTTCTTATAGCGTTGCGCTTCCGCTGGAACGGCGACGCGAACGTATACACGGTGCCTATCGTTGCGACGATAACCCGACAGTGGCCGAGTTCGGACGAAATTATTGTCGCGGTTGTACTTGTGTATGGGTGGGTACAGCAGGCGTACACAATATTAAATCTCGGCGATTTATTTCGCGCTCGTCGAAAACTGGTCCGGGGATGTACGGCAATATCGTTCCGTGTCCGAAACGGTTAGACACCCGGCACCCGGCTACGGAGACTATGTATTTTATTTTAATAAAACAACAATGTCCACTTGATTACAACGCAAATCCGTACATTCAAGACCGTAACGATCCGGAAAAAAAAAATAAAAACTTATATCGCGACCGTTTTCGACGGTGCGATTAGCACCGGGCACCGTTCGTTCGATGACGATCCGCGACGATTATTGATAGATCTGTTTCGTTAGCGGTCAAAAAAAAACGGCAAACTAAAAATCCGTTTGTTTTCAGTTAACGTACGCGCGTGATATGGTAACCGATATAATAATAATTTAATAATTGAAGCCATCGTGTTAATATTGCGTCTATATTTCGATTTATTGATGACAATTGCTTTTTATTCTTCTCGTTTCTACCTATCGTCCTGTCTAACGACCCCTGCAGGACCCGAGCTGCCAAAAACGATCCGCCCCAAATGCGAATTCGATTGACGTATTTACGTTCGCCGTCCGGATATCCTTCTCTGCAGTACACTTTCATCACGCACGCGGTCCACCTAGAGATATTTTCTTTTGTACGGTTTCAGTTATGACCTTTTCATTACGTTATTTTCGGTTTTCCGTACGTGTCTTAATTATCTCGTATCTTAAATATCATATTTTCACAATTTTAAGGGGGAAAAAACATTGTGGATTTCGAAAAAAAACGTCCGAATAACATACGGTCGGGCGAAAAATCCGCATCTTTCCAGGTGTGCATACGATGTGGAAAAATCGAAGCGTTTTTACCGACCGTAAAGCGTTTTCCGCGAGTGAAAAAAAAAACACCGCGTACTTGTAAAACGAATAGCATCTTCGTTATAACAGCGTTCAGAATCTAAAATATTACGCGCTATAATAGTCACGGCCGCGAGTCAAAGGCAACAACAATAATATAACATTATAAATTGTACGGGTTTATAGTTTTCAAACGCAACGACGAAAACAACAATACTCGGGTAAACATTTACACAGTTAGGTCGGCGGGTACTTATACCTAATAAACGAAATTGGTACCTCTGTATAACACGACGACTTACGAAATAATAATTTACGTTTAAACAAATATTTGTACCGAAAAAACGACAGAACTAGCGACGGAAAATAACATTGAAAATATAATAATAAAAAATAACGCGCGTACAATAATACGTAGGCAGGTATAATATTGTTTGGTCGGGTTTGTTTTTTTTTTTTTTTTTTATGTTAATCATCGACTTTCGGCACGTTGATTAGGCTCGTTCCGCGGTAAAGTACGCACGGCATACATTATACGATTATATACAGGTGCCCGCTGCACGGCACCGGTTCACCGCAAATTCGTTTTAATTCGGACACGCGAGCGCAGGCGCAGGATATCGGAGTGAGTCGCGTACGGCGATGAAACCGTACGGGAAACTATGCGTTTTCTTCGCACGTCCGTATTGCGCCGCGATTGCAATACGCGTATTATAATAGGACGTACCTGCCGGTACACGAATCTATGGGTTATTTTATCTTGTTATTATACGACGGTGACGAAAACCAATTATTGTGCGTACGCATGGGTGTATACGTGCGTTTAACGTGATATATTCTGTTTTATAGGCGCGGGTGAAAAAAAAAAAAAACGTAAAACCGCTAGAGGAGGCCGTACACTGTGCTGAAAAAAAAAAAAACTACCTGTGTAACATCGGTGTGCAGTCTCGTACGAGTTCCCGACAAAACATTATTGGAAAAACGCGTTGGACGTTCTAAACCTATGGCTGTTTTAGGCGAATAACAAAATACACGATACGATATTATAATAATTAAAGCCGACGTATAGAAATCCATATCTATACAGTCATCATAAATCATAATAATACATTTGGTAATACTTCTTTTTTACACGCGGAGTTTTAACATTTATCCATCGACTTATCGGCGTACTAAATAAACATTCGATTTTCACTTAAAAATTAATAACACCGCGCAATTACTATTTCGAAACAATATGATGATAGTGTTTTTTTTACGTTAGTTGTTTTAAGTATATCGCTTATGACGGTATAGCGTTCAATTGACGCGCGCTTGTTTTCATTTGTCTTTCGCAATGATTTTTGTTCTCGTATATTTTACCGATATTTTCCTAACGATAATAGATTCGGTAGAATTTACAACACCTATCGCATAGATTATACGCTCGAGAATTTGTTTTTGTACCAACGTTTACCGCGACAGTTAATATAATACCATAGAGTTTAACACTGCCACACGTTGCACGGCCAATAGTTTCGTCTCGATTTCGATTCGATTGAAATGAAAGTCGTTCGAACTTCGAGCAAAATAATATGTGCATATAGTTATGTCCAATTTATTAAATATATCGCATAAAAAAAAAAAAATTGCCCAATTATCCAAGACGAAGCGCAATAATACACGAGTGTTATATTACACATGGTTCGGAAATAGTAAAATCGTCATTAAAAAACTGTTAAATATTTTACTGTCGTCGCACGTCATATTTTTAGTAGATTTACTACGCCGGTTTAGTGTACCCATTATCTCGAAAGCGTGTGTACGGAACTGCAGACAATATTATATTTTATCATTTTTATTCCGTCGTTACTTTAAGTAAAAAAAAAAAAAAAACGCAATAATTTATTGTTTTAAATTCCAATTTATGTGTATAGGTACGTTATAAAAACGTGTAAAATTGAACTGCGCACGATGTATACAAGTGCGAGTATTGTATAATATATTATATGTATGTATTTTTTTTTTTTTTTTTTTAATAAAGTCGCATCATTATTATATTATAGGTTCATATTCGACGGGATATTATTATTATTATTTTTTTCACTTGTTTTATTGGCGTTTTATTATACACACACATCAACGCGAATAATATTATTATAAAAAATTATTGCGTGCGCTCGGCGACGCGAGCATTATAGCAGTATTATTATGGGCACAGGTCGGAAGTGCGATCGAGATATAATATAAATAAACATACGTATAGCCATATTAAAGAAAAAAAAATAAATAAATAAAAATCGCCGGACGAGTGCCGATGAAACGCGTTTGAGGATAATAAAACGGCGGTTTTTAATTTCCCCGCCCCATCTTCAACCGATTTAATGGTACCTATTCTCGTCGGTCAAGACTAACACTTTAGTCTTGACCGACGAGAATATAAAAAAAATTGAAAAACAGGCGTTTTTAACAGCCGACGACAGCCGGCGCAAACGGTTATTTATTATTATTATTATTTTTTTTTTATTAATTTATCGCGTTCGCGGTTTTCTCATTGCATGCCCCATTGTAATTATTACCGTCGGACAAATGTCGTTGTTTCCAGATTAAACAGCCTTGTATGATTTGATGCACGCAAAAAAAAAAAAGGACCTTGGCGGATTTTCGGTTTAAAACGACGGACTTCGGGTTTCGTGCAAGAACGGGTCTTATGCGAGTCGTGATCGCACGTCGACACTGGCTGGGCCAGAAAACGACTTTGTTGTCTTCTGTTTTATACATCACAACAAATAGTTTGGAATTTTCTCAAAACGAAATTTTCACGATTATACTCAACGTGATCCGTTTAAGTGGGGGTACGCTTTTAATGTTTCCGGCACCGTACGTGCACCCACTCAAACGGACCGCCCTTACCGTATAGGGTTCCCGTTTGAACGGACCAAATCGTTATCATGTATTCGTGTATACAAAACTGATCGCGTCACTCGTCGCGTAGTATATTTTATTGGTAGGCGGGTACAGTTATCTATTTTGTACCGAATGCATATATGCGTGCGCGTGTAGTTTCATACCGGTTTTAATTATTTTACGTACCGCCATTGTAATGATATTGCAGCCACGAAAAGAAGGACCGTTTATAATAAAAAGAAATTTATCAACACCGAAGAGGTTTTTGTTTTTGTTTTTTTTTGTTTTTTTTTTTGTTTTTCCATACGACGGTGTTAATTATTATCAACGGCGCGTTCTCAAAGATGCACAATAACGTAATACACGTATTATTATAGCATCTGGCGCACGCAGACTGCTGCGGGGTTCGAATATCTAATTATTTAACGCTATATTTGTTTTTTAAGATTTAGACACTTTCTCGGCGCGACGACGCGATCGTTATAAAAAAAAAAAAAAAATAAAAAAAAAATAGCGTGTATATATATATATATATATATATATATATATAAATAATATAGTATATTATATGTTATTAAACGCTTTGAACGACGGACATTTTTTTCTTTCGATCCGGCCGCTTTATTACAAACATACGGTACTTGGGCAAGTAAAATTATTTGGTTTCGTTGAAAAAAAAAAAAAAAAAATCATATAATCAAGACAAATATATTACGCGAAATACAGTTGACGTCAGAAGATGACAAAAATAACACTTGTCGAATAATTGAACTGACTTATCGTCATATAACATCATTCGTGCGCGTTGGCGACCAGTTGAGGGAAACGCTCGAAACTGCTGGTTTCAAACACGCGGCGCGGCTCAAACCGATCGTGTTTCGTTGTTTATATACACGTAATATTAATGGGGTTTTACGCGAAATTTCGCGAAACCCATCCGCTTGTTAAATATTCCGTTTTGACGAAGAAAAAAGAAATTAATATTAAAATCAATTTTCAAATGTAAAACTCTTTTTAATAGTAATCGTACGGTAGACGGCCACTTATAAGACACTGCACAGTCCTGCTCGTAACTTTGAAAACATTGTTAGCAACCGATTATTGTAAACATCTACAATTTTACCAATAGTATTTACAAACAATTCAATCGGTTTTAATTTTTGACATTAAACATATTTGCTTATTGCGGAGGCTTTTTTGAAAAAAAGAATCCAACGCTACAATATTAATCGGTATTGCGTCTTTACAAAACACAACGTGATGCCGAAATAAAAATTAAAAAACAAAAATATACTTTTTTAATATTTCATACTCGTAATCGTCATCACAATATAATAATAAGCAATTCAAACAACTTTTTAAAGTACTGCTGTCATTGTTCTTCAAACATCGCGATTTTAACGTTTGCCGACTTTAAATTATCATTGAATCATTAACAACGGTTCGGTCGCATTATGTCAATCATTTTTCTTTTTATATTGAATCTATAATTAACATTTTAAACTATAAGTTCTTTCACGATAGTAATATAGAATTTAAAAATTTAAAATATTAGGTTTTTGTGATTATTTAAAAACGAATTACTACTACTGCTAAACTACTACTGTTATATTAGTACTACAAAAAAAAATAGAAAATTACAGAAACCGCTATTACGATAATATGTACGTTTTCCGACGCTTTTTTTTTTTCCGGTTTCTCTCAATTATCAGCGCACCGACTTGTCGGACCATCCCAGCAGTTGACGGTCGAATCATCGGTAGATTTCCGGTCGAAAGGTTATTTAAAGGCGAAAAAAAAAATAAATGAAAATTAATAACAATAATCAAAAATATAAAACCGATTTCAGCGAATGTTCGATTGTATTTATCATGCGCGACTGCGCGGCGACGTAAAGTCGCGCACCTATAAAAATAGAGAATCGTTTTTTTTTTTTTTTTCCCCGAGACTCGTAATCGAGTAAATTATTACGCCGGGCAATAATATCGTATACCGACGCGGTTTTTTATATCGTTCGACGCCTCGAGACAATAATGACGAAGAACGTTCGCCGCCCTTCGAAACGAAGGAAAAAAAAAAAATAAATAAATAAATAACTCGAGTTTAAATCCTGGTCCGCGAGCGCGTGACCGAGATGTCTCGGCCGGTACAAACGGCCGGCATCTCCTAAAAAGGTGTCGCGCGGGAAACACCGCCTAAAAATACAATATAATGTTTTATCGCGCGCGCGTTTGTACGTATACATACATATATATATATAAATATATGTGTGTGTATACATGTACCCGTATATAAAGGTCCTACGAATGGAAAAAGAAAAAAAAATTCCGCGACCAATTTTACCAATTACAGAAATCGCGGCTGGCGCGACGCCGCGTTTTGGGGCCATCTTCGCCGTTTCCGGAGCCGTTTAAACACGGCAATCCCGTCTAGAGAGTTAGCGCACACTATATAGCCGCGGTTGTCGGCTTTTTCAATCATACGACACACGTACGATATAATCATATATATTTTCTTCTTACAGCGGTTTTTTTTTTTTTTTTTGTCGTATCCTTCTATCCTATCGATTTGACGTATCTATTATCATTGACCCGTACGGCTTATCGTCAATTCGCGTTGAGCATTAAATCCACGGCGAGAAGAAAACGAAAAAATATTTAAAATTGTTCGGATGTTTTATTCGTATGTAGTACAATACGCGCTAACTCGAACGATCGTTTATTCCATGTGGTTATAAACGTACAATAATAATGTATGCGATTCGACAACTGCTATAAGATTTGACACAGTAAAGTTGGTTTTTTTTTTCGTTTTGAAAACATTAAATTCAATAAAATGTACTGCAGAATACTATACGCGATGGTTGCGAAAAAAAAATAATAATAATCCGAGTGGAGCTATAGTCGAAAATAACACATTTTTTCTAAATTCAATTTGAAAATTATATTAATTTTTGCCTATACAAAATAATTCGAAATTATTCGCATTTGAACGATTTTTTTTCGAAAATTCAAACGTTACATTATTGTATCTTTTAGAAAACGGGAAATATTCTTATTTTCGGAAAAGTCAAAATCTATTTTCCTTTTTGTCATTCGTCGTTAATAAAAGTACAGCGATTTTTTTTAAAAAAGACAGTGTAAAAATGTATAATAGAAACTTGCTTCTATTTACCGACCATTTTGTGCGGATACGGACAAAGAGACTTTAATAGTCGGTAACAACGTCAAACACGAAATTCATATTAATTTCGAATATTTTAAACTTTTTACGGGAATATTTTCACGAATGTATAAACAACAGTTCTTAAAACAAATTAAATAATAATAATTTCATGTATGTAATTATAATTTAACTTAGAGCAAAAAATTGCAATGTTTATTTTTACGGAGATTTTTTTTTAATTTTAAAAGATAGTTGTGTTAGTTTTGGATTATGAGAAAGTAAATAAAATTTTAATTTGTACGTATTATTAGAAGCCGCGATCGTTATTATTTTAAACGGCATAGGTACTATAGCGGGCGATACTCGAACAGAAGTTTTATCGGGTACCTACCAAAAACAAATATAATTTCGCGATTTTTTTTTTTTTTTTCTAAACATCTCGGAATAAAAACTATAATAATATCGTAAAACGATCTATTTGTATTTCGGTCGGGTGTTTTGCTGTTATGATACCCATAAGATTGAAATCACGGTACATACCTGATTTTCGTTTAGTTTTTCAATAATTGCTCATCGACTTGGCACGTCTTGCGCCGAGTAGTCCAATTTTAGCGGTCCGCATAGTCATCAGCTGCGACTGCGTCGAAACGATCGTGACTTCATTTAAAAATACCAAAGTTTCAAACGGCCGGGATTCGAAATCAATATAACAGTATAACAACAGTGTCGTTATTATTATCGACTGCGCGCCGCGACACACCGCACACCGAAACACGCGCGATTTTTATTATTTTTTTTTAAATTACGTTTTGATTTAAATCGATACTATAGTGTATCGACTACTGAAAAGACGACGGTCCGACGTCGGCCGGACGGACGATAGACGAGCGACAACGTAAATAATAATTATTATGATGATCGATATTGTTATTATGCGTACGTAACATAGTATACGAGCGCGGGTTTGTCGGAACGGTAAGCGGTGGCGGAAAAACGAAAACGGACCAAAAAAAAAAAAAAAAAAAACAAAAAAAATTATCGGCTAATATAAATATTATATATTAACGAACACGCGTACGTTATATTATTAATTATTATTGTAAACCGAAAAGAACAAAAAACAAAAAAAAAAAAAAAACGTATACGCGTGTTGTGCGTAGAACGCGGACGAAAATAATAGTATTACTTAAACAGATTTTCTTATTATTATTATTATTATTATTATTTTTTATTTTTTTTCTTATTCTGGTCAGCGCGTGAAACGGTCGGGCAAACGGAACGCGGGTGACTGCCGGTGTTCGCGGCTCGCAAGACGAGCACGTGGCTTTGACAGACGAATCCTCGCCGCCGCCGCCGCCAGCTCCGTCGCTGAATAATATTATAGAGGGGAACCTCCGCGCGCGGTCGGAGTGGGTCATACTCGTAGCAATAATATAATATTGTATATTATGTACATTCTAAAATAATGTTGTTATCGGCCGTGTTATACTATTGTAACAATAATAGCGTGTACGTTGTCCCGCGACGGCGGACGAAAATTTATAGAAAAAAAAAATCCGAACGCTACATTTATTTGTTTTTTTGTTTTTTTGTTTTTTTTTTTCGTACCTATACTTACGGTGTACGGCGCGCAAGTATATACCGGTACAAAGTGTTTGCTGCATTCGTATACATAACACATACACACACACCCGCGTACCGATAATTCGATAACGACAATACGTGTGTATGTGTGTGTGTGTGTGTGTGTGTGTGTGTGTCACTTTACGCCTTTTCCCTCCTACAGCGTGCTTGAAAAGTTCCCTTTTGAAGACGATCCGTTAAAANGACGAAAATTTATAGAAAAAAAAAATCCGAACGCTACATTTATTTGTTTTTTTGTTTTTTTTTTTCGTACCTATACTTACGGTGTACGGCGCGCAAGTATATACCGGTACAAAGTGTTTGCTGCATTCGTATACATAACACATATACACACCCGCGTACCGATAATTCGATAACGACAATACGTGTGTGTGTATGTGTGTGTGTGTCACTTTACGCCTTTTCCCTCCTACAGCGTGCTTGAAAAGTTCCCATTTGAAGACGATCCGTTAAAACGGGAGTTTAAACGCCGATACACAATATGTAAATATTCGAAAGACACGCGGAAATAATTTTTTTGTAATACATATTTTTTTTAAGGATCTCCCGCCGCCCATTTAGGAAGTTCTCCCGGAAAAATTTTGAAAATCCGCCGCTCCGTACTATTGATACATCATTTTTCAATAAAAAAAAAGACCTACTGGAAAATTTTCAGAATCGGCCTGAATTCGTCTTTTCCCTCGTGCGGGTTGCAATAACAATGAGTCGATTTTTTTTTTTTGTTTGCGTTATCGCCATAATGTATTGTACTTGCAGTGGACCCGACACTGCACAACACACGCGCACATGACGTTGCTGGGATATCGTCTGTGGACATCATCATCGGACACGACTGCGGCCACAGAACCCGCACGGTTGCGAGCGGTCTAAACGAGCCCGTCGTTGCAGTCGTTACAAACATTGTTGTTTGTTTTTTTTTTTTTGTTTCCAATCCAAAATGCTACGGTACCGAGTGTGCGAGATAAGTAGGTATAGATTTTTAAGGTACAATTTGTTCGCGTACCTTTTTTTCACTGCAATTGTACCGTTTACTTGAACGGATATACAAACGTAAATACGGTACCTACATGCATCAGAAAATGTGTACCAATCGTAAAAATTATTGATATATTAAAACGACATATTCTCTGTGTCTAATGGTCGCTGTTCGCCTCTACACGTTCCATAAACATTTGATGCAATTTCAACATCCGTTCCAGTTTAATAGCATTGCATTTAGCTGGCAAATAACCGTTAAAAAGCCATTCGGTCTATTATCGGTAATGTGTGCCGTATTACACCTACCGATAACTCTTTATTCGTTCGGCTATTAATACGATTTAATGGCATTTTATGCGAACGGGAAAGGTCATACTGAATATGATATTTTGTACGCGCGAAAAAAAATAATACATTTCATATCCATTTTTAGACGATAAATTCATAATCCCTGCCTAATTCTCCGGTCTAAACTTTAAACCGTTGTAACTCATAAATTATGAATTCGATGTTAGTATTGAACGCGTCAATATTTTTAAAAACAAATTATTTATTCGAATCCGTGTTCGAAATGGGGCGAACAGGGGTTTCTGTTTGACAATCAAAAGTATATACTTATCTGTAAGACATTAGGGGTGATAAATTCAAAATGGTTTTAAAACAAAACGATTTTATGGATAAAAAAAAATTTAAAAAAAAAAAAAAAAACCGAAAATCAAATTCACTTAAAATCCTCCGAGAAAATTGCTGGTTCGTGATAAAACGATCGGCCGGTACACTTAAACACAAATAATACAACTTAAAAATGCACGTGATATTTCTTTATAAATTCGCAATTTTATTTTCGATAAAAGTAACGCAATTCGAGCTGTTTTTCCACGAAACGCGTAGTGTTACTGCGCTATACACTACTTACCAAAATATATCAGTACCTACACGCTATTAGTTTCGGTAGCAGTAGGTTCGTTACAGAAAAAAAAAAATAATAAAAAAAGATAGCGCGCTACACGATGAAAGTATTAAAAGTATTGTTTAAAGATTTAAAAAAAAATATCGTTCGAAGTAATATCGAGTTTTTAACAGTCATTGCGTACAAATAATTTGTAGTTTCAATTATTGAACTTTTAAACTTGACGGTGTACACGTTTATATACAGAGATTTTTCTGATTTAAGTTTGCATAAATAAGTTAGGTTTTTTTTTTTTTTTTTAAATTTTAAAAACAATATATTATATTATATTTTTCGTGCATATATAATATATAACCCCCTCATTCGACTAATATTGGCCATAAACCGCACACGACGACAACACGCATTAACCATAGCAGTATCACATCAGCTATCGATAAATAGACGAATTTTTTTTTTTTTTTTTTTTTTGGTAAAACGTAATGCCAATTATGAAAAAATAATTTTTTTTTTTTTTCGGATGTTTCAAACTCGAGGTTTTAGCGTAACAACAAACACCGATACGCATATAGTATACCGAAACATGTTTAACGAGCCGTTTTAACGTTCGTTTTTAATGCACATTTAATATTATACAATAAAATATAAACAACACCCGTTCTACGTGTGCATATTCCGCGTGCGCTCCGGGCCGCAATTATTTTAATCCTGCGACCGCTTGTTTCTAACTCGTGTAATATTATTATCAAATTAGTATATATTATGTTAAATGCGCGTGTGAGTGTGTGTGTGTGTGATTTTTTTTTTTTTTTTTAAATAATTTCACTCAGACCACAGCTGACTATGAAATTCTAACAAACGCACACGGTGGCCGCGTTCAGGGGACGCGCGATCGTGTTGTGTTTGACCACGGTGTTCGGTAGATGCGAACGAATGCCGTTTGCATTCGGAAATCGAAACTCCAATGGCGTGCAAGACCGTGCGGAGCTCCCCGTTTCACGTGCACCCGCTTTCACGACGTGTCCGCGCGAGATTAACAAGCCAATACAATGCAAAATCGCGCACTAAAACAGATCGGCGCGCGCGTGCAATTGTTCGCGTTTACACGCGTCCGCTAAGTTCGGCGTTAGTTTTCACGGTTTCACGTGAAAATACGCGAATCACGTACTACAACGCGTGAACACGGATACCAAACGTTTCGATTTTAAAGCAACCCGATATTTTTATTTATTATTATTATTTTTTAAATACAATACGAGTATTCAGAGATCAATTATAAAACGTAAATTAATTATACATTTTTTTTTTTATTTTCGTATGGTAATATTTTTCGTTTGAACGAATCGAACAAATCATATTCAGGTATATTGAGTATATTATACGATACAAAACATGATATGCTATCACGTTTTGCAATATTTTGGAATACTACGTTTTGTTTTTTTTTGTTTTAAGATTTATCAAATGCATAACGCGTTTTTCCTGTAGCTATATATCGTATGCATTAGCGAAAAAAAATATATTTTAATTTTGAAGTATCGTTATTGTTTGAAAAATGTGCGCGCAAGTATTAAAAATAAATTAACAAAGACATATACGACGAAGGTATGGACAATTTAAATAACGGTTCTTTTTGTATTATCATTATTATTCGTCGTTTAATTCTATTTTTTGTCCGCGTACACGTCATGTATACGTGTAATTAAAAAAAACTTAAAAAAATAAACCAAAGTACCTAACTATATAATATTCAATTTGTAACGGTTATTTCGTAACGCGACGATTTCGATAATATACAGTACCTATCTCGGTTGTAAACTAAAAATCTAAAGACAAACATTTTCGCTACGAGTCGAAACTAAAAAAGATCCTAAACCTCAATTAACGTTACATCGAATTTTAAAATTGGACACGGTAATAGTTCACCAAATGTCTCATTTTAAAAATGACCGATTTTTTTCTCGGATTCCGATTGTAGCGAAGAATCTATAACAGTTTTACTACTGGATGGATTAAATATTAGAATTGTAGGTACGTCTTCTTTTTTTGTTTGCTTGCACATTGTCGTCGGTTAATAAATACGCTCTGAATTGTTGAAGCTGTACATTAAAAGATGCGGAATTTTTATCCGGTGGTATAGTTTATTTGAAAAAAAAAAAAATGTCTAGATTCCAAACAGGTTTTCTACGGAGTTACACAAAAAACCTAACAACAAATGTCGATAAATCGGTTTAACTCTCGTTAATTTTTCGGTAGCCTCGGCTTCAAGTGGTAAAACATAACTACCGTACTGCAATCTTACCGGTTTACAGCGCCTAATTTTTTTAAGTATCGTTTTTTGATCGCGATGATTTATCGTCGAGTATTTAAACCCTACGACAATGAGCACCCTATATCCTGTATATCCTTCCAAACTCCCCGCCTACAACAGTGGCCGGTTACCCATTTGGCCCGACGTAGGCTTGTCCGGATTTCTAAAATCATCGTAAAACGACCATATTATATTTATGCCGCCGTAACGTTGAAACATTAATAATTTATCCTATTTATGCATCATAATAAAAATCTAATACCAATAATATGTGTTTCGGAGTGGCTCGATTTAGCGTCTACGTACACAGTAAAAACACACCTATATTTTAATATGTTCAGTAAATTGTTGAAAAAAAATAAAAATGCATGTAATTCTTCGTGTTTTCAATAATACGATATACTTACTGCAGAATAAATAATATACACGTATACGATATACC